TAACATTGCCTGGCTGGTCTCACCTCGTTATAGCAGTTACTGTTTTCTCTAGCTCTGAACTTCAGATGCCCCAAGGGGTCCCATTGTGTATGTTGTGGATGTTACCTTGGAACACATGTGACCGTATTAAAAAATAATAATAATTCATTAGCCTGAAACGTGGTGGGAGATCAGAGGGCATTGAGGTGGAATGTTGGCCTCCCCAGGTTTGTATGTCAGCATTTAGGTATACTTCTGCTTTAAAAAAAAAAAAAAAAAAAAAAAGTGGCATTAACTTTTGCTGCACAAAAATAGCTTTTAGGGGTTGTGGCTTCATATTCACAAGGAGCAGAATTAAGGTGTAGCAGTGAGAGATCTGGCAGTTGTTTGAACGTTAGTCAGAAGGAAACTCTGGAAAATGAAACTAAAGCTAAAAATGGTGTTGATAAAATAACGCTTACCTGTACAGAACGGGTTACAGAAGGGCAGAAAACTGCTCTGAGTTACCTTCTGTCCAACATCTCCACTGGCAATGGCTGCAACTCCTTCAGCCACCTCAGATGTAGTTAGTATGCAAAGGTTATTTTTGCAAGCTTCTACTTAAAAAGATTATAAAACACCATATGTGCTTGACTGTTTCTTTAAGACTTTGGCAAGTGTTTTGGCATACTTAGGTTCTACCCTGTTCTTCTAAGGGTTTCTTATTGCTATGGCAACACTAATCAATCACCGTGCTAAAAATAGGCCTTTCGTTTTCCAAGAGGCTATCTGTGGTGAGTTGAAAATCCAACTGCAGTGGGTGCTTTTTCCGTATGCTGCTTTCATTTCACTTTGTTTTAATCTGGAAATACCCGCGCTGCTGTGCTGTACTTGGTTACAGGCCCACGGGTGTTTTGCTGGTTGCTCTCTTGAGCTTTAATCCTCTCCTGGCCCATCCCAGAAAGGATGCTGAATGCAGGGAGCAAACAAACAACAGCACAGAGAACAAAAACACCTGAAATACTCTTTGGTTTTGGTTGGGTTTTTCTTGTTTTGTTTTTCGTGTCCCTCCCAGGCACCTCTAAAGAAAGGTGGAGGTGAAGTAGGAGACGCCTCCTTAGCAAGTGTTAATGAAAGAACCCTTAACCTGCGACTCTGGAGGCACTAGGGCTGTTCTATAGAAATCAAGTGTAGGTTTAAATTTAAGATTAAGTGTGCCACTATTTCTTTGTCCAAAGAGGATCCTTGTAAGCTGTAGAGATAATGGAACGGAGGCGTGGAAGCAGAGCCCTGCGCACTGCTGTGCGTGGATGGCAGCACGGAGGGAGCGGTGCTTTGGAGAAGAAATGTGCTGAAAGGTTTCTTACCTCTGTTCGTTCCCAAGTTTGATTCCAACTGTTGCATAACACTGAATCCCTGGCTGGGTCTGTACACAGCCACTCAAGTAGAAAAAAAAATGTACTTCTTGCATGAGTAATAAAAGTCTTTTGAACGATGCATAAACAGTTTTCTGGTTCTGCTGGAGCCCTCTGCCAATTAGTCAGAGTGCAGCTGATGAATCATGAGACGCAGTCTGTGAAATGTTCAAAAATTTGGACCCTGCTAAATGTTCCTGAAAGCCACAGAGCCCCCCCGCAGCTGCTGGAGCAGTGGTTGGCGGCCAGCTCCGCAGAGCTGTGTTGGCAGTCCAGTTCTTTTTGTTGAACTGTAGCTTTCATTTGGAGGTAAATTCGTGTTACCATCTGCAAAGCAACAGTGAGGTTGACTTTTGGTAGCTTTATGCTAAAATGATTTTCTGCTTTTTAATGAGGTGCCATGAGGTGAGTGGCACTCAGTAGTTCTTGTGCAGAAATCTGGAGATCCTCAGGCATTTCCTAACTTCTCTTGTTTGAAATGCCAGAACAGAAGGTTGTTTTTTACAGTCTAGATTTGGAGTTGCAGGGAACAACACTTTGATTCCGTGCTTCGCTGAACTGCCAAAGGCAGCCTGATGGCACCTGAAGTTCAGTCTATAGAGTGGCTGAGTCTCTGAGTGTCACGGTCTGACTCATTGCTGGTAAACTGTAGATGGTGGTAGAAAGTAGCAGGTATTTATTTTATTGCAGGGGAAGTGAGAAATCTGTCATTTGGCATTATTCCATATTTCCTAGCTATGCTTCAGGTCAACAGCACAAATGTTTCTCATGTTTTGTGTTACATCCCCCACTGTACCTGAAACTGCAGTGTTTGATCACTTACATCATCCACTGCTTCCATTTGTATCAGTTCTGTTTTGGAAGCGTCCATTTTAACTGTGTAGCAAAGAAAATTAAATTTTGGTCATCAAATGGAAAGGGCAGATTCTTAACAGGTAACTAAAGCCTGGGCTGCAGCAGTCACCTCGAAACATGCAGACACAGTGCCAGTAAACAGTTAGTATGTTGTGCTATTGGGGCATACATCTCTGCAGCTTGTAGTGAAAACCTTCCTAGAAGCTGGTGCTCAGACGTAAGCCCTGAGTCCATCGTAGTGCAGTACCAGGTTCTGCGTTCAGTGCACAGCCCTGGGAGGTACTGATAAAAACAGAACGATGAATTAATTGGCAGGCTCTGCTCATTTCCTCAAGGATGCTTTCCCTGGGGATGCCCATTCGCAGAGCTGTGGTTGTCAGCAGCAGCTCTGTATGCCTGGGCTGTGTGCCTTTGTGGAACACAGAGCTGCCATTTGTGGGGTTTTGAAATTCATGACCCCTGTTTTTACCATCCAAGCTCTAAAGAAGTTCTTTTCCAAATGCTCTGAAAACTGTGCAATAGATGTCAGTGATTTTGTTATTTTTAACCTGTGTCCTGTAGCCCACCTCTAGTAATAATTTACATCTGCAACCTTCCCCATTCTCATGTGTGCATGGAAAACAACTGGAATGTTCTTTACTTGTAGAATGTGAATCATCTGAGTGATATGAACTTTGTTTTCAGTCGTGATGGCATTCTCCATCTGCTGGGTCATTCCATATCTCTGTAGCAAGACATTCATAGCTTTTTGCTTACTTTAAGAATGTTTATTTGTAGAGTTCTTGCCATCAATCGCTTTTATTCACCTCTCCTTCCAACTAACATTAATATAACTCAAGGTTCTTCATTCCCCCTTTTTTGTTGTAGTTTTTCTTGGTGGTTTGGTTTGTTGATGAACTTCTTTCCTGCTCTTTGCTGAGGCATTTGTTTGCAGATGTTTTCAGCTGTCTGTCAGCACAGGAGCAAAATACTGAGATAGGTGATACAACCTCAGTTCGGAGAATATCTGGAATTTCTCTCTGTGTGTCAGTTTGCATTACGAGATCCACAGGTCTGTCAGAGTGCTTATAAATACTGCGTATCTTCAGCTGGTGTTTTTGAGACTCGTACGTCATCGATCTTTAATTGCCCGCGAGATGTGCATAACAAGGAACCAGCTCACCTGGTGCTGAACTTGCCCCATCTTGCACTCTACATGCTGGTGATTTTTTTTAATGTTTTATTTTGTCACTCATTGCACGAGCTGCATGGCTGAGAGCTGGTCACAGTTTAGGGTGGATTGAGGCTCATAAGATGCCGGTCCCCAGAAATCTTTACTGAAAGGGGAGATGTTTATGTGATTTGAAGGGAAGCTGGTGTGGTCTGTCATCCACAACTGCAATGTGTGCCATAGGAATATCTCGTGTTAATGGAGGGGCAGCCTTAGCAGCAGCCTTCTTCCTTCCTCCAGAATGAGCCTGCTATCTCTACAGCCCCTGGCACCAGAACTCTGTTCTGGCAAAACTCATTCTTTTTGCATTCTTTTTGGGTGGATGTGCTTATGAATATTTCTGCGGTCAAAAGAAAATTGAACCATTATTTTTGAGATGAGATTCACGGAATGGGAAATATATTTTCTGTAGTCTCAAAGGAGCAGGCTTCTCATTTTAGTTTTGTTGCGTGGCAGATTGTCTTCTAAATCACCTCCTTTCTTACTCACCAGCCCGTCCCTTAGAAGAATGATCCCAACTTTATCAAGTCCAAACTTGGACCAACAGCAGTGTTAATGCTAAGCATCACAGTGTCCTCGTTGTGTAAGCTGTGCGTACAATACGAGAAGTAGTCATTGGCTTTGCAAAGGCATTTTGCCATAGGGTGTTACGGATGCATTATACCAGTAACTGCCACCTCAGTTCTGCTGGCAGTTATTGCAAGGCTTGATGACTAACAGTGGAGATGCTGTTAAACTAACATTCTTTGGAGTCTTTTAGATGTTGACTCTGTCTGCCTCACTGAAAACCTGGTTTGAAAGAAGAGCAATGGAGTGCTAAAGAAAAGATATTCCAGTGGAGAAAATATTGCAAATTATGTTGCCTGTTATTATGAAATCTAGTCTTGATAATCCAACTAAATTCAGCAATCCACAGAAAAATTTATTCCCTTGTAAAATACAGAAATATTATCTTTGTGAGAAAAAAAATTTTGCATCCTTAATTTTATTGCATTATTCTCTAGAGATTATTTTGGGTTTTAGTGCAGAAGATTTTCCAGACAGCTCATAATCCATCTTAATCTAATTAATAAGAAATTATGTTAAATTTTATTGTCCACTAAAAATGAAAATAAACCAAACCCTTGCATGTCAAGGTACCGGGGCTGTTTGTGCAGAACCTGCAGGCAATGAAAAGTCCTTGGGATATTTTGTGTGGGGGCAGCCTTGTCAATGGTGGAGAGTGTTGAGCTGCTCTCAAGGTGGCAGAGTTCTGCTCATACGGCATTCAGTGCTCCTATGTATAAGGAGCATGAAAACTACAGTAGCTAGTTATTGCAAGAACTCACACTAATTTATTTATACACTCATTGCAGTGTTCTGCTTTCAGATATAATCTCTGCATCCTTCCAGAATCATGAAATGCTTTCATGTTTTGTGTAAATCTGACAATTTTTCTTGAAGTAACACGGGGAAAAAAAACCCAACAACAGAGCTGTTACCAACCAGGATGTTCTGAATGTGTCAGTTGATGAAACACAGCATATTTTTATCATGTCAAACGCATTTCTCTTTTGTTACAGTGTTCATTTTTGCCTAAGTTCTCCATTCACATAGAGACAAAGTATGAGGACAACAAAGGAAGCAATGACAGCGTAAGTAGGATGACTTCTGCAAAATTAAATGTAATTCTTCTAGGTAATCACGGTCCGTCTCTGGGTATTTCAGTCGGAGAAAGAGGCCTTCTCAGGTTTGTATCTTCAGTCCTAGCTGGGTGTGCTGTTGGTGAGCCACTTGTCAGCTCGGGAGGTGGTTACCTACAGCACCACGATGGAAGATTCATGCACACAGCTTCCTTTCTGTGTCTACCTGTTATTTTTCTAATCACAATGTAATTTATGTATGTCACTTCAGCTCCTGTGAACATTAGTGGTAAAGGAAGGAAAAATTTCTTTATTTTGTTCCTGTTTTTAGTTGTGTTCTAGTTCATCCATTTCACAGTATGTTCTGTCTACCTGAGCAAAGGGGGTTGAATTTGCAAGAGCTGGTAGGAGGAGCAAGCAGGAAACTTAACAACGGCCAGACAGTAAAGATCTCAACAAAGCAACATCAGGGACCAACATTGAGGTGATGTGTTGGCAGGTTAGGAAGTTCTCAGAATGAGAGCTTAGAAATGGAAAGGATAATGAAGTACAGAACTGTAGGAGAAGGGTGAGAATGAGTAACCAGCAGCTGCTGGGCAGGAATGCAGAGTGGGAATAAGAGAAGAGGGCACTCAGAGTTTGGTTCTCTGACAGGGAGCAAAGCAGGGTCAACTTGCAAGAAAAGAATAAAGTTAGATACAGCTGGATGAATAGACAAATACATTCTTGTGTGTTTGATTTTGGCATGCCTTAAACAACCGTTTGTTGCAGACTTGTGGGAAGAAGCTTGTAAGTGTGAAATGCTGTTTGAAATATCTGAAAAATTGGTCTGTAACAGCGGCCTGATGAAGGAGTGCTTCAAAGTCAGTAGAGCAGATTTTAAAGTGATCTGAGGCACAAGCACTTTTTGTGTCCAGAGATGAACCTTAGTAAAGCTGCTCAAGGGACAAATGTTGTGCTTCCCAGCTCCCAACTGCCTTGGGCCCCTGTTAGCAAAGCTGACATCTCTTGCACTGCTTATGGCAGCACAGTGTAAAAGAACAAGATATAATTTTAGAATAGAATTATTCAGTTGGAAGGGATCTACAAAGGCCATCAAGTGCAATTATCCAACCACTTCAGGTGTACCCAGGACTTAAAGTGTATTATGAGGAGTGCAATCCAAATGCCTCTGGCGCACTGTCAGGCATTGGGGAATACACCTCCTGACTAGGAAGTCTTTGAGCAATCTCATAATAAGTAATTTTTTAATGAGTACCTGATCTGCACCTACTTTGAATTACAGTTTGAATAACGTTTTGGCATACAGAAGCTTTCCCAATGATAACACAGATCACAGCCACCAGATACCAACTATTTGCAGTCACTGCTAGTGTGGGCCAGGTTGAGATCAGTGAGAGGGAGAGAGAAAAGAAAAAAATGTGCTACATTACAAACTATGTGAGCTTTGCATTATGTAATTTATGCACTTTTTAATCTTCACTTCTACTTTTTGGCAGCCCTTTTTAATTCAGAGCAAGCCCACACCTTTGGTTTCAGGAGGGTTTAGATTACTGTTCTGGTACATTATAATATCAGCAGTGAGAAGACACATTCTGTACTGATGCCTGACAGGAAGAACTGAAGCTGTTTAACCAGGGAAGTTTCAGATTTTTTTAGTGTGTCAGTTTTGTAGCTAAAATACTATGATTCAAGTCCTGAATAGTCCCAGCCAGTGAATTTAAGAAGAAATTTGCACAGAAATAGGATGCTCAGATCATGTAAATGAAAAAGTATCTGTTCTTTGAATTCAGCTCTTCAAAATGTAGTTGTTACCAGAGTACCAAAGGAGTGATGTTAAATCACATTTACGACCTGAGTCACAGCCTAGGTGAATACCTGCCAAGATGAGCTGCTTTTATTGACCTTTACTGAAGTGAGGTGGTGGAAAAAGTCTGAGGACTGTATTCCAGCCCTCATTTCCATGACTTCTAATGCCCATAGCTATGTTATGCATTGGTGTGAACACAACAAACCAATCTACAAACGATCTACATATTTTTCTGTTGATCCAGTGACATGTATCTGCTGGTGAAGATGTGGTTGGTACAGTGCTGAGGTGCTGGAAGATTTGTAAATACAGAGACCTTGCTGAGCCCCTTGGAGCCTGTGGGCTTAAGAAGATGAAGTGTGTACCTTTCTTTCATATCAGACAAGTTTAGATTGGATTTCACAATGTCTGACCTGTCAGAAAGCAACAGGGAAATGCAATAAAAAGAAATGGACGCTGCAACTATCAGTCTTGGCTGGTAAACAAAGAATCAAAACAGTACGTCTGTAAATTTTGCAGTTGCGGTGCAAAATGTGGTGAATGAACTTAATGGGGGTGATGTGGGTCTGATTGGAACTAAACATTGCCTGGGGTTTCTGGTCATACAGGTTTTTTTAAATCTTTGAATTCTGATTTTTCTTCATTTCCAAAGTATCTAATAAAGTAGATATTGATTGTAGAAAGCAGTCATTAGGTATAAGGATACTAAAGCTAATTATATTGATTAGTAGAAGAAAGTAATACAAATGTTCTCAGTTTGCTGTTGTCCTTTGGGAGGCTATGATATTATTATTTTATTTAATACGCTGCATTGTCTGGTAAGATTCTACCTAATTACTGCAATATATCTTGATGCAAATGCCTTCCTGATTTTTCTTCCCAGCTGTCTTGATAGAAAAAACTCAGGGAAGACGATGCCTGCTTTGTAACTTGATTTTTGCCTTGAATTTTGACATCATTTTAAGCTATTCCCTGTGCTCTGTAAGCTCTATCATTTTGATCTGTTACATTTTGCACGTTGCTGAAAAGACCAGTGGACAATAAAACCCTTTACTTAGATGAAGCATCAGTGACTGCATGACCAGTCTGTAGTTCTCATGGACGTGCAGTGAAGGCATTGCTCTCCAAGCACATCACTGAAGCACAGCGACATTCCTGTTCCCTGCTTGTTGCAGAAGGTTCGTTATGCTTCATTGTTTGTGTTTCTTTAGTAACAGTTCTTTCTGCTGATACTTGGGCAATGAGTTTTACCATCTGACAGTGTCTGAGGAAAGCAAGAAAGTACATTTATAAAAATGATCCTGTTGTTGTCAGTAAGGGAAAACTTAAAGAGCCTTACTCTTTGTAGCATGAAATTTTGCTCTGAAAAATGGAGTGGCTGGTTCTTATTAAAAAAAAATAACAGTTTGTCTTAAATTAGAGTCCTCCTGTTGTTAAAAAGGACGTGACATGTATTAGCAAGAATAACTTCCTTAGGGGTAGTAATTTTGTGGAGCAAATATTTTGAGGTAGAGTTGTTCTTCAGAATGACAGTGTATGAGTATCAGTGGGCTGCCTTCCTGGAAGCGTCTCAGTAATGCTGAAAAAGTCATCGGAGTTACAGCAATAATTGTGTTGATGAAAATAGATTATCCATTTGTTTTTTGCCTCACAAAGATAAGCGTGGAAAAAAAGCGTGTGTCTGAGTGACCGCGTGCCAGATGGAAACAAGGGGCAGTTCTGCACTCCATGTAGCTGTAAATGAACACCAGCATCTCCTGACACAGTAATAGCTGAGCATGCTGCAAGCAGCGAGCTTACAGCTGGGATCACCTGGCGTGCCATCCCTGTGCATTGCAGTGCCATCATTCACTGTTAGGAAGTCACTTCTTGACAGCGAGTTCTAATTCTGCTGTCCCAGAAGTGAGCGATATTCAGTGTTGGTATGCTTCATCTTTAGTGCTTCTTTCTGAATGCTCTGAAACAGTTCACTCAATCCATATATTTTTGTCTATTTTAAATAAATTTCTCTGCTGAAGAAGAAAAGCTGTATTTAGTTTGGCTCTGCTTAGGGCCGTTTTTCTCCCCCATTTTTGTTTCCTATCTTAGTACCACAAAACTAGGTTATAACAAACTTGAATATAGCATGTGTAAATTAAATGCAAATTCACTGTTAAGGGCGCTGCCATGAAGCACTGAATGCGGCTGAAATGGGTTCTGCTGTGCCCTGGCTTAGGCTCACTGAACTGCAGGTCATCATCTGGAAATTTCACAGAGACCTTTTAGATATCAGTGCAGAATAGGTTGCAGTCAAAGCTGGGGTCATTTGAGGGGGTAATTTTATTTGTCTGGGCTTGTTCTCCATTATGGTACTGTGAATGTGTTTATCTCCTGTAGTTTGCAATGAAAACAAAACACAAAGTAGCTATGGCTGCTATGGTGTAATGATGTAAAACTGCATTTCTCCGTTCAAAAAGTACAAATCTAAATTAGATATTTTATAAAAGATGAAATAATGGAGGAGTTGCGACATGGAGATAAAAAAAAAAAACAAGCTGGGAGCACGGCTGCTTATAAATACAGAACTGCCTTTGTGAGTTCCTGACCGGCAGGCAGTGATATTCCCATGCTGTTCCATCAGCCAGATTTACTGCTGTCAGGGAGAGGTTCAGTCTTTTCCCATAGAAGAATTGCTCTCAGTTCTGTGTGCCACATGATGTTAGGCAGCGATGAGGTTGAAATGGGTCAATTTCAGTAATCCTTGCCAAAGTAAATCTCAAAAGCAAATTAATGGATTTTGGTACTGGGTTTTGAACAGAATTTACAGGAAAGTTACACACATACACCAAGTTCTAAGTAGACTGTTTATTATTATAACTATTTTAGGCCAAATTTTGCTTAAAAAATGAGAGCTAAGTGGACCAGGTGACAACGGCTGCTCAAGGGTGCTGCATTGACAAATGGGATCCTTGCCAGTAGTTCTGGTGATGGCAATTTAAAGAGATCAGAATTTCAAGTGGGAGAGGAGCTTTGTGCCAGATTTTCCCTTTTTAAAGAGGAAAATATGGAAGCTTACTCTTGCAGTCCTTGCTGCAATTAAACTTATAACTATTCATAAACCATAAAAGCTAGATTTATACCATCCTGTTAATGAGGAGTAGGGATGTGTTCTGCTCACAGAAGGCACTTGCAAGTATTGAGGAATTGGTGAGGTGACAAGCTGCATGGATAGACTCCATTGCTGGGGTGGGCTAAAATAGAGAGAACGTTATGAACATTCTGAGAAATACCAATATATGCATGAAAAAATATTTTCATTTCTTATGTAAATATTTAATGCAAATGCCTATATGCACCTAAGTTGGGGGAGCCTTCCAGCCACATGCTGGGTTTATTCCTTTCGTTTGGTTGGTTTTTTGAGCCGGATGACTTTGCAATTAATACAATAGTAAGAAAGTCAGGAGGCAAATCTAATGTAATTTTAAATTACAAAGCATAAAGGTACTGTTGTGCTTCTCGTGTCATAGTCTGCTGTCCTGCTAGGATCTTCTACTGTCCAAATGTAGGCAGGCTGAGTTATAGCATTGTTGGGATGGCTGTTGGCTTTGTTAGCAACACGACAGAATACAGAGGTAGAGAAGAATGCTTTCTAAGAGGGAATTTGATTTAGGATTGAAATTCACATCTCAGGAAGCTGCATTTACATGCTGTATACTGAGCAACGCCATCACTTTGGCTTTGTTTGTGTGTAGATGGGTATGGGTGTCTGATGACATAGGACCTGGGATGATGATAATGTTTGCTACCATGTTATCTGCCTGTAATTACAGAATCACAGAATCACAAGGTTGGAAACGACCTGCAAGATCATCCAGTCCAACCAACCATCCAGTCCACCACACCATTCCTATCAGTGCCACAAGCTACTAAACCATATCTCGTAGCTCCTCACCCAGGCGCCTCTTGAACACTGCCAGGGACGGCGACTCCACCACCTCCCTGGGCAGCCATTGCAGTGCCTGACCACCCTTTGAGAGAAAAAGTTTCTCCTACTATCCAACCTAAACTTCCTCTGATATAACTTCTTGCCATTTCCTCGGGTCCTACTGTTTGCTTGGGAGAAGAGGCCAGACCCTTTTGCACCACAACCTCCCTTCAGGAAGTTGTAGAAGTGCTCTACTTTTTTAGAAGAAAACCTTTTAGCCATTACCCATTTGATTTCTCTGCCTTCACTGCATTTCTCAGCAGTGGCCAACTGCCTGGGTCTAACATAGCAAGCAAGAGGATGTAGAGATCTGTCACCCAAAACCTCATGAGAGATGGGAAAAGTATATTCCAGGTAAAGGCACACCAGTTTTCAATCTCACAGCTGTAGAATACTGGGTTTTCTATACAGGCTGCTCTATCAGTTTCTTCTCTGATGACTTGTCTGTACAGTGTTGACCTGTTTAACTGTTTCCATAGGAAATTTTCTGTCCTTTTCAGTAGTGTTTAAAATGCAAATTCTCTGCCTTATTACAGTCTTCTGACCACAGCTTCCTTGTGTCTGAATTATAAGCAAAAATAAAAATAAAAAATGTGCAGTGCACAGCATTCCAGCTGGTACCTTGTCTACTCTCAATGACAAAAAACAAAACCCATAGCAAGAGAGAATCATACATTATGGAGCAAAGCCAAGCCAAACAAGCTCAGATTTGACCCTGGGAGTCCTAGCAGTGTAGATGAGGAGTTTGCCAGAGTGTCTGTAGGATACAGCAGAGTCTGGCCTTTGCTATTTATAGTCTAGCCAGGTTGGCCGCAGTGATTGTCCATGAGAGTTAACTCTTGGATGAGCTGCATGTGAAGGAGATGGAAGCCAGCAATTCAGCCTGAAGATGAAAATAGGAAAAGTAGCAATGGAGCTTGCAGGAAAATATATTGAATTTGCTGTTGATTTACCATCATCTTACAACCTGGCTTTCTGTTCTGGCTTTGGCTGCAGGCAAGGAGAAGTTACAGTTAAGTATGTGGTAGGACACGTTGTTGTAGGTCACTAAGAGAAAAAAAATAAAGAAATGTAAATGCAGCAGCTCTTATTTGTTGCAGTGGCCTTGAGTGATCCTTCTTAGGATCATCTGCTAGTTTTTCAGGGGATGGGGTTGGTGTTTGTGTTTTGTTTTAATTTTCCCCAAAAGGAACAGCTTGACAGTTGCTGAGATGACCTGTTTAAGGCCTCTCTTCCACTTTTTGTCGTTCTGTAGGTGATTTAATCCAAACGGTGCTCTTCATTAGTTTTCATTCCTCTTAGGAAGTGGAAGCATGTAAGTGTTTTTCTGTTTTAAAGAAGCTGTCACAAACAAAAAAAAAACAATCCACAACAGCCAAAAGGACTTCAGCCTGACTGTTTTTCATTTGATTGTGTATTTCAATCTCAGTTAATTATCTGGCTCCCAAATACAAAGCCTGTCCAATTTTTGCCCATACAATATTTAATATTCTGCCTTTGTTCATCATCATATTAGGGACACAGACTGTTCTCACCATTCATTTTCTGCACATTTGCAAATACAGTTGCACAGATTGGGAGCCTTATGCTTCTTTTCATGGCTTTTAATCTTTTCCCTTAAAACTTTTAAATTTCTCTACTTACTTTGATCACCAGCGCAATAAACCAATCCTCCCTGCAGGTTTTGAGAGAATCCCAGATTGTGTGGCTCGGAGATGCAATAAGAGAATTACAGCTAAGAAAGAAATCAGTCTTGTTCTCTAATTACTTCTTATTTTCTACTGCTGATAGAATGGAAAGATTAAATCTGTCTGCAAATCTTGCAAGGACAATCTAAGAAAGGAAGAGGCACAAACGATTAGACAACAGCTTTTGCCAGCAAAGAGAAGTGAGAGTGTCATTCAGCAGACTTTCAGAATGGAGGACTTGGTCAGGGATGGCCTAAGCAGCAAATAAGGCGTAGCTGAAATAGCTGAAAAATTCCTCCTGATTTTGACAGATTGGCAAAGGCATCTGTCAGCTCCACTTCTGTCAAAGTGCCTTAAAGAGAGAAAAACGCTGTAGAACTGTATTACTTAGAGGTGCAGTGTGTGGATCGAGCCTGCGATGGAGCAGGGCTCCAGGTGTCTTCAGGTGAGATGCTGGGCAACAGTTCCAATTTAGGACTTGCAAACGTGCAAAGTTATGCAGCTGCTTACAAGTTCTAGAGTTATTTCAGCTCTGTCCTGATTCAGGGCTTATGCTGGCCGGTGATGCCCATTTAAGGGAAATTTCCATTATTTGAAGCTCAGAGCATACGGTGGAGTGCATCTTGGTTCAGAAATAGCTGAGCTGATTTCTGCAAGATGCTGCTCCATATATCTGAGTTCACTGAGGAAAAACAAGGAAGCACAAAGCAACGTACATACATAAGATGTAATGCCTCTTTAAAGTAATACCTCAGTACTATGAAGGAGCACTGTGAAGGGAAAACGTTTCAGCTCAAACTTCATTCAAATAACTTCATTTTTTTGCAGAGCAAAGCAGGGCTTGGGGATGTAAAATAAGCATGCAGATAGAAGCAGTCCAGAGTTTCCCTTCGTTCTGTTCTGCGGTTTCAAATATTTTAACATTTCATATCCAGTCCAGTAAGCATTCAGTGCTTGTTACATTTCAGTAGTGAAAGATGAAATCACTTTAATTACCAATTAGAACTGTAGAATCAAATTTTAGCTGTTCATTTATTTGAAGAGTGATTTCCTGGGCAATGCTCTTCTTACGGCTCGTACGCTGGTTTGTTTGAATGCTTTGTATGGGAGACTCCGTTGCTTTCAGAAGTACCAAAGAAGTGTTCTGGTTATTGCATGGGTGTTGGCATTTTGTATTTTTAACTGTTCCTCTAGGATGAAATGAAGTGTTCACTGCATTTATTTGAAAAAGAAAGGAAGAATATAATATTTATGCTTCCAGAAACACAAGTCAAAGAACATTGTGCCCCAAAGGGAAAAATGCATTATTAGCTTGGTACTGGCAGCATACGCAACTTCCCTGAATTCTGTGGCACTGATTCCTGATGGTCTTTTAACCAGTCATTATTTCCAAGTCCCAGAATCCTGAGTGGAAATGTGCTGCATACAAAGCATACGTCTCATGGGTCACCAGTGTACCTGAATAATTAAATTATGGACAGAGGCACAGAACTATTCTGTGCTGCAGATGCAAGTGCCTAGTATTTCCAAAATATATGGTGCTGATCATGCCTAGAAACACATTACTTATGCATGATTTTGATAACATCCATTTTCTTCCCTTTGCCTGCTTGCACATGCTGTGTGCCTGCGATGGCTGCAGAAAGAAACTGTGTCCACACAAACATTGTAGTGTTTTATTCCAGCATCTGTGCAAGTGGAAATCTGAAAGCGTTCTGTTGCACAGGTTACTGAAGGAGGCTTACGGCCGTTGTTCCAGGTGGATTTTCTGACTGTGCTCTGTTAGTGTTACGTTTCTTTCACTCTTGCAGATTTTTGACAATGAAGCTAAAGATCTGGAACGAGAAGTCTGCTTCATTGATATTGCCAGTGATGAAATTCCTGAGCGCTATTACAAGGAATCGGAGGTAAGAGGCAAAGTGAAGGAATGTTCAGAGCTGCAGTAAAGCCTTGATTGGAGTCAAAACAGTTTTATTTTGATGTGAAATTTCCATGGTTGGTATTTTAGAAGCTTTTGATTAGATGGGAAGCTGGTAGCAAACTCTCAGTCTAGGCTGCTTGGCTCTTTGATTTACAGATCTTCAGATGACTTCTCAACCTCTTGAAATGCTTTTGTATCCTGGTCGATTTGTGACCAGTACCAGACCTTTTCATGCACAGTGGAATAGGATTTTTCTTTAAATCGTGAGGCTCACTGAAGTGTTTGCAGCTCTGAGAAGTTTTAAACATGACTGGTTTCCTAATTTGCATTCCACCCCAAAGTAATGCCACGTGAAGTGTCTGAGCCCCAAGCAAAGGACAGACATGCAGGGAGAGTAGGGTTGATGCTTGTTGCTCAGGGGCAACTGTGACATGAGACCAGGAGGGACTGAAGCACACTACGTGATGGAGTGAGCCTGCTAAAAAGCATCAGTGGCAAACCAGCACGTTCGCTCACTTAAAGTTCCCCTGAAAATTGCTCTTGTGTACATTTGACAGACTGCTTCTTTTAGGTCAATGCAATTAACTGTTCTGAAATCAGTAACAGCCATGCCAATGGAGATGAGATCTCAATGTTTTAATATCAGTGCTGGAAAATGGTGGTTCAGAACAAGTAACTGGAGAGAAATGATCAGATCTCTGCTTGCATTTCATTTTGGAGGCACGGTTTGCCTCTGAAGCAAAGTACATATTCATAGCTGGCAACGAGTGTGGCAGCTGTTTGACTATACAGTATGAGATTACACAGTCATTTTTAGGTTAGAAAATGAAGACTTGCCAAAGAGTATGTTTCTATGCCATAGGAGCCATGCTTTTCAGACAAAAATAGTTGGGTACGTGTTATCTTCTATTTATAGGTCCCACTGCAGATTTTACGTCCTGGTCATAAAAGAAAATTGGGTAACAGTAGAATGAGAAGTAATTTTATTAGTTTTCTTGGATTATAAAACCCATCTGTTACGTACCCAAAATTATGTAACACCTCATGAACCAGCTTATTGGTCCCATCATCTCATCTGAACTCCCTGGTCTGCTGGTTCTGTTCAGGAATGACTGCCTGCCACTGAAAACATCAGCATTTGACTCTGTTTTAAAGAAATCAGGTCAGATTTTTCACCTCAGCGTGTGCACTTTTACAAGTTGCAAATAGGAAGGCAACATCTAGCTTTTCAGCTTTCCTCTCTTTAGTAGCTAAGTATTAAACCTTATTTTCGAATGATGTATCTAATGATGTAGAAAAACAGCTTCAGTGGGAGAAAAGAATTTTAGTCTGTGTGTTGTACTTCAGAGACAAATTCCGAGGCCTTATTCCAAGCAAAATGGAATTTTCTGTATGATTTTAAACAACAAAAATAGACCAGCATCTGTTGTTTTCTCTGTACCCATGGCTTCCAAATTCTGTTTCAGAATTCATATTTCATACAAAGAGATGAAATCACCTCAGCCTTGAACTGTGTACTGAACTAATGGTAGCTGCATTCTGAATCTTGTGAAGTTTACTAACTGTACTTTATATTGCCATATGATGAACATGAAGCCAAATTCCCTTTTCTCTGAGGTCTTTTACATAATTTAGGGACTGTAAGAAGGTCTTTAATTATTTTAAATGTCATTTCTGTCTGTTTTTAATCAGAGCAGTATTAAAAAAGTAACTCTATGTAAATGAGAAATGCTCTGTATTTTCCAAATAACAGTTTCAGAGATAACTAAAAGGTATTTTAATTACACTAATAACAATAATTTGGCTGGTTCTGCATGATTTAATCTGAATTGATATGTTAAAGATTAAATGTGGAGTACAATCCTCACGATTTAAGAATTAGATCCCACTGGATAAATGTTCTGATTCTAATCCAGAAAGACCAATGAGGATGGTTTTAACTTCAGGCATGGTAGTAATCTCTTCACTACAGTGGCTCTTTCACATGCTTAAAATTAAGCAAGTCTGTATCAGGGTCAGCATCCTTAGCACCTTCTAGAAATAAGCTCTGAATTTATTTTATGTCCTGTTACAGCTACTGCAGGAGGTTCATGAGATGTCCAAGGGACACCTAGCATCACACTGCATAGCCAAAGATGGAGTTAATGGAGGCTTAACAGGGGTTCCTGTTGCATTAAGGAATACTTTAAAGGAACCTCTGCTGCTAGTTCTCAGTAATATCTTGACCAGAATCATCTGAGTGATTTGATTCCCTTAGGAATGGAGGGTTTTTCCATCAGTGCCTGCACCAAAGGGCTGAAATCGACAGGTGAATGATGAAATGGAGGGCAGTTTGTTAGCAGTTACAGAGTCCTGTTCTGTCATCTATGGAGGCAGACTGACTTCAGCTGCCAGAAGTGTTGTCCTTTTGGAAGACTGGAGGAGGTATGACTGAACTGATGTAGATATCCCAAAGCAGATGACTTAATGACTGTCTATAAACTTAATCACTAAGTTACAGCCAAAGTCCTTACCGCTTCTCCCACATCTTAAATACAGCTTTTTTTTGGTGACCGTGGCCCTAAAATCCCGGAAAGTTTTAAGGTGTTTAGAAGTCAAGTTTCCAAATCTGCATGTGCATGGTCGCACTGAGTACAGAATTATGTATGTCTTTATAAAGAATGAACAAGCTTACAGGTAGGAGGATCTGTCTTATTTCCTTGTGACTTCAACATCAGTGAATAAGTATCACCAGCTATCACATATTCCCCATATACGCCTATGTGTTTATCTGAATTATAGAAAAGAACAAATCTGAGCTTTGCTGAGGGGTGAGAGATGGCCTCCAGTGAATCATTCACCGAAATGAAACTTCTCCTGTAGACATGAGATACTGAGCAATGTGTTCTTTGCCAGTTCTGAGAACTTGAATATAGGAGCAGTGTTTCATTTCCCGTTTATAACGGAACAGTTGAGCATTGGACACTCGCAATAAACACTTTTAGTTACCTGCAAATAAAAAGATTTCATACAGCAGCTGCAGTTTTCTTCCTCAGTTGCTGACTTCTTTGACTTTAACTGCACTGCAGTGGGTCCTGCTTACTCCTCTCCAGTGCTTTGTGGATAACAAAGTTTGTCATGTCGCTGATCAGAAAATTGTGGTAGCTGATACGATGCAGATGCCGCAGTCCCCACTGTGAGTAACATTTCAGTGCTGCAGTTCAGCACGAGGCACAGACAAAACAAATGAAAATGCTCTTTTACTGACCAACGTCAGTTGTGAGCTCACAGAAAGGCTGACTGGATTATCATATTTTACCCTCAGAACCGTCCTGGTAATCACAGTTCTGAAGAATTTGCTGTTTCTCGCAGAAAACATCTTTTTATGGAAATCAAGAAAACGTATTTAAAAAGTGGCTCCTCACCAATCTCTGCAGGAGTGTCTTTACATCAGCACATCTTTCTGGAGCACTGAGCTGCGTAAGCTGAAATCCAAACCCTGACCACTGTAGCTGGGTGGTGAAGTGCCAGATCACATGTATTAAAATCATGAAAGAATGGTTCTGAAATTCAAGATCAAACAAAATCATCTTCAGCTTAAAGTGGGGAAATAAAGAGGGACTGAACTTTGAAAGTATTTTAGTGGAATATTTTGTGATAGGACTCTGGAAAAAAAATGAATCTGTGTCTGGGGTCTTCAAATCACCATGCTGATGTCTCAGCATTAATGACAAATATACTCATTAAGATTTTGGAGTTATATTCCTATAAGCAACAAATTTAAGTATATAACCTTAAGAAAAAAGTAAGATTTCAGCTGTAAGCCTGAAAAGGCATTACCACAAGCCAGTGCCACATTTCCACATTAGTGTTTGCCTCCTGGAAAACAGGTTACAGTCCCACTTCTGCTGCCCATGACATCTGCAGTTCCCAAGGTGCTCCGAGTAAATAAATGCTAAATACAAAATAATGGAATCCCAGCAGTCAGTGTGCTGTCACAGACCGCCAGGCGAGGCCTCAGTAAGAACACTGGGAAAGTGCTGTGTTTGAAGCCATGCCCATCACGCTGTGGCTTTGATTTTATTTCACTGTAGTTGTGTGTTTTATTCTCAAATAAGCCCAGCTCACAGGTAATGCTGTTTCTGCCATGTTAGCAGAAGTGCTGTTTTTAAATCTCTCTGCACCTGGCAATAATGCACTGCAAATACAGAGTAGGGTTTGCCCCTCTTCAGCAAAAGGATTTGCCAGATGGGCTCTCCTAATAAACTGGGTCTGATAAAAGCACAGGAAGGTTATTTAAACAAAAAGATTTTTGCTATGCCATTACATTTAAAACAGATTGAGGATTTTACTAGTAGAGAAAATGAGAGAAAAGTAGTGAATTGAGGCTATTTGGGTGCTGCTTTTTTTTTTTTTTTTTTTTTTTTTTAAAGAAGAAAGGTTTCTTTGCTGTAAATCTTAATCTAACACTGCAAAGCAATGAGTTAGACACGTAAAATCATTCCAGGTCCAAGTTTTCAATGAAATCAGATACTGAACATCATAAGGTTAGCAGTCCTGGTCACATCAAAGGTCTTTGTGGCTTGGGATGTGCAGAGGTCCAGGAAGGGTATAAACATAAGTAAATATGTAGAAATTCTTCCCCTGAATACTTTCTTGTATGAACCATAGCATGAGAAATTTCTGGGCCAGAATTTGTGTCTTTCTGTAATACTCTGAGACTGCTTTTAAGCACTTAATTTTTTAGCATCTGGGTTAAAAGGCCAGTTGTGTTAGTTTTACTTATGATGGCTCTCCTCTGTGAAACAACTGTGTCCTTTGAGCAAATGGCCAAGAGATCAGACTCTGCAGTTCCCTCTGCTTAATGTGGCCACGTATCTCACACTGTGCTGCTCAGCCTGACCCATCCTTACGTGCAGCTCCCACTGAATCGAGTTGCAGCTCATGTGAGCAAGCTCTCAGTGAAATCCTTAACATCTTGGACTTGCATGCAACTGTCTGCAAATCTATTTCTGTGAATTCTTTTTTATTTTTCTTTTTTTTTCTTTTTTTTTTCTGGCTTTCGTTCATCTGTTTGCAGTTTTTTAGTACCAATATCTTAATGTTTTCTGAAAGACAGGAATTTCCATTAAAGCTATTAGATACAAGTTCAGACTGTCCATCGCCGCCTGCCTCTTTGCCTGAAACCGTCCAGCCAATTTGTGACTGTACAGCATGTCCTTCTAGAAAAATGGACGTGATTAAGGGAAGTAAAGGTGCCATCTCTGTGCACTCTTAAAAGGATCTGGAACTCGAAGTGATATCGTGGATGGACTGCATTGCAGTAATTGGATTGTTTGGAGATCGCCAACCGAAGGATTTCCATTATGAATCCATTTGTCAGCTGTGTTAGCTTTATAAAAAAGAAATAAAGAAAAACAGAAATTCCTTTTTTTGTAGCCACCCAGAGGGTGCTTGCAGTTAAACAGGACACAGATGTTGTGCACAGCTCTGCAGTCCTGTGGGGTCGCTGTTCGTTGTTGAACTTTTATCTATAAATTTTGAAAAACCGGCATTGACTCAAATTCGTTGCTTCAATCCCTTGGGACGGTGCTGGAGTTGTTCCATTGTGGCTCTGGTTATCATAGAAGGGTTACAGGGTATCCCTGCTTAACACTCAGTGTTATTAAAGGTGTATTCAAAGTGCTTAATCAGTACAATGGCGTCATCTCTGCAGTACTGTGTGTGTAAGAAGCAGCAGATCCTTACTTACTATTTCCTTTTGATTTTCCTTTTTATGAAGAAATGCCTATTTTACTCTGTAATATTTAGCAGAAATATTTTAAATGAGGCTTTCTGCAATCTATTTCTTTATTCATGGAACCATTTAGAAGAATTTTGCATCTTAGTTCTTCCCTTTTTATTTTTTCTTTCTGTTATTATTACTATGTTGCTTGCTTCAGGCAGTAATCAGCTATAAAACAGCCCTTTCAACCAGAAAATATCTAGATCAATCTGAGGTCAAGCTTTATTGAGTGAGAAGAATGGCAACAGCATGTGACTATGAGTTGTGATATACAGAGGTATGTTGCTATGATATATGATGACGCTGAATTGTTTTTTATGGTAATTTAACATTGAAGCCCTATTAGAGTTCAAGTTTAAAGTTTCTATTTAGAAAAGAACGTGTCAGCAATAAAACCAATGTCTTTCACAGAGAAAGAAGCCTGTCACCTCGTTAGAACTTTTAGAGGAGCCTTAATGACTGAGCTGCAGTTTATGGAATAGAACAGAAGCAAACTGTGCACATTGTTAGAAGGAGTGGTGCTGGTTGATGTGTGAGATCAAACTGCATGGAACATTTTTTTGTTGCTCACCTATTATCTTCCATTGAGCTCCTCGTTAAAGTACACAGATAATTGCTCTTCTAGCACAGGATGAATGTTAAAGGTTTTCTCAGGTCTCAGCTTTGGGCAGGACAATGCAGATGAGTACTGGTGCTTATTCTCAATGAAACATTTTAGAAGCTGCACTATAAATTTACAGAAATTTCACTATCTTCAAGTTCTTCTGAAAATCATTATTTGTGTGTACGTTACTTCAGTTTTCAAAATTTAGGGAGCAGGAATGGACATAAGGGAAGTGCAGTGGAATCATAAGGGTATGGAAAACAGCATTTGCATAGTAAAAACTTTATCCTGTCTGAATAGAAGCAAGCCTTACTGAACTGCTATCCTTACTGATTGCTTGTTTGATTCTTGTCTCAGTACTGTAATTTCAACACCAATTTGTTTGATTTTGCAGTTAGTTAAAGAGAAACAGTGTTGAAATTAGGTCTATAGTGTTTTGCCCAGACATTCTGTATCTCAGCTGTAAATGGCAGTGGCTGAATCGGAGGAGTTTTGTGCTTGGCTGGTCATCTGGATCTGCAGTATCACGTAAACCTGCCAACGGGTCTGATCAGCCGTGGTCCCGTCCTGTGCTTTGGTGTGCCAGAGCTCAAACTAGACATGATTTCATGAAGGCAGGCAGGTCGCACTGGGGGAGCAGTGTTGAAACAGGTTCTAAAGAAGTAGTGTTGTTTCCAAAGGCCATAAATAACACTTGGAGTGCAGTGCTTTGCAATGACTTGCAAGAACATGTTTTCCTATAGCAGAAGATGTCCCAGATCAAATGAGCTTCAAAATATCTTCCAAGAGTGCCATCAAATTACTGGATGTTGAATTAAAGAAAGGATTTGATCTTGTTATATCCTCGTGCTTATTTGGGTCAATTTTATATTACTTTTTCATTGTATTTATTAGCATGTTTTCATATTTTATCTTACCAAAACACTTCAGCAACCTTGCAAGCAGGGCTTACTCTCCAGGATCTCTGAATGCGTTTTCTTTGTTTTGCAGGATCCTAAATATTTCAAGTCACAGAAGACTGGGAGAGGCCAGTTAAAAGAAGGCTGGAGAGAGACCCATCAGCCCATTATGTGTTCCTACAAACTTGTGACTGTGAAATTTGAAGTTTGGGGACTTCAAACCAGGGTAGAACAATTTGTACACAAGGTGAGCGAAACAGGAGCTGTTTCTTATCCTTCACATCAGCAGAATTCGAGTTGCACTGTGCAGGAATATAACTGTGTCTCTGCTGGAAGCAGCAAGCTCAGCTGGATCTTTTTCAAGGTCTGAAAGTAGAGCCAAAGTGTTCATCTCTGGGTAGGAACTTGACAAAGCCTGAAGTTGCTCAGGTCTAAGGCTGAGAAAAACTATCAGTAATGCTTTCAGTGCTGTGGTCAATTTGAGCTCAGGTATTTGTAAGTATGCTCGAGTAACATTCAAGTAGCAGTGATGAACAGTGTTTGTCTTATAAACAGGTGGTGGGAGAGCTTTCCAGTCAGTTTAGTAAAAAAAAAAATAAAGGATTCATTAATAGCATGGCAGCCAAATTGTAATATTTTTCCTTCCACGCATTTAAAGAATGAACAAGGAAAAGGTTCCAATTTGTTTGCCCAAAAATTATGGTATTCTGTACATAGCAAGTGGCTTCCCATGCTATTGATAGCCATGCTGATGTGATTCAGTGTTGGCAGTATTCCACTTGAAGTGGGAGATTGGACTGCAAGATCTTAGAGCCAATTACCTGACCCTCTACGGTGTCTCTTTTTTGGATAAACCTGACAGTATATTTTTCACGTTAAATCTTGCTGAAAGGCAGCATTTTTCTGAAATGATCTGTTTTTGCAAAGGTGTTTAACCGTTCCCTTGTTTCACAGGTGGTCAGAGATATACTCCTGATTGGTCACCGACAGGCTTTTGCCTGGGTTGATGAGTGGTATGGTAAGTATTTTGCAAATTAAATCCACTCGAAAGGGTGAGTGAGAATCTTTTCACAATTAAAAGCAGATTTCCGTTTGTTTTCATAGGCCATCAGGTCCCATCATAAGTTGTTCATGTAAGAACCTGAAGTAATTTCAGTTTTGCTGGAATATGCAGGGCTCGTTGGCAGCAGGCTCTTTGTTAACAGGAGTAGGTTGTATGTTATGACAGCCAGTAGGCATCATACAGGATGCTGTTACAGCCCATGCAACTCAGAATGAAGACATCAGTCCAGTCATCCTGCGCTGTAGGCAGGTAGAATCTCTTGCTTCTGGCAGGATTCATCTATATGGAGAGCTGCTTGCAGATTTTATTAAAGCTTTTTAACTATTTCCTTACTCAAACTCCTAGGGCCTCTTCTCCAACACAACTTCAGCTTTTTAGGAAAGTTCTAAATTAATATGTACTGCAATAAAGAGAAGACAGAACTCTAACGTCCTTTGTGACAAATAAATATAAATGTAAAAACCACAAGGATTGGTTCAGCAGCAGCTGTTTGTGAAAACTGCATCCATGCACAGCTGTAGGAATGGTTGTTTTCTGTAGTAGAGTAATTGCAGATACCAAAACAGATAACTGTTATATAGGTTGATGGGGCTTGTCCTTTGTACACTTATTTTCAGTAAGACATAGCCGTAATCATACATATTTCTATAACTTAAAACATCCCTCTTAGTATGTGATAGTTATTTGGGAATATGTTTAGAAAGCTTATTTAAACCCTCCATAAGCTTCTGGAAATGATTTTGAGCCATTCGTGTGTAAGAATGTTTCTGAGTTTGGATGAAGTTCAGAGCACGTCATTCTGTGTTGCTCAGCACGACCAATTGCCCCAGCTGGTGGAAGCACGGACGTCTCCAGTGACTTGAGAAACCTGCAGAAGCACATCTTTTGAAATTATAGAACCAATTGCTTATGATTTTAGTGCTTCCTTCTCAGGTTATGTACAAAACAAAAAAAATCTGGACTGAATAAAATAGATATGAATTTAGTTTAGGTAATTCTGTGCTGTCTGCAGCCTTTATACACTGCATTGTCAAAGGCATAGCTCTGCCCTTACACCTCTTCACCTTAAGAATAACAGGTGGTAAGAATTGCTGACTAGAAACCAGGTATTTCTGTACCCAAAATAAGTGAGGTCCAATTTATATGCAACCAGTGCAATTTAATACATATGAGGTGTGAAATTTTTATGGTGCTGTTCTTGACACGTTTATTTGTATGGAGAGAAATTTTCAAACATATTGTTTTTAAAGGGTCTGTGTGCCTTCAATGTGTCCATTATTATATTTTTTAAATTAAAGTTTGAGGAAGGCTGAGATGATGCAAGTCTGCTAAATCAAGAAACTGGTGTATTAAATTCAGTTATCAAACATAGGATGTACTGATATTACTGATTGATTACTCTTACTGCTACCCTAAGCATGAATGTGTTCTGCCATTTTACTAAATTGCTTTTAGCTTTATTATTAAGAAAATCTATTTTCAGAATGCTGCTTACTACTAAAAAGCATGCTCTCTGCTTGGCAAAATGCACTGTAGTATGTTATTTACATGGCTCATAAGATTGTCTTTTGTTACAGGCAATAGTAAAAGCAGAAGGTTAAAAAAGTGTTAATTAAGGGTATTTCTTGTTTTGTTCAAAATTTGAGATTTGATTTTCAATGATAAATGCATGACAGCGTGCCATAACAGCTGAAGCTGTTTCTTTCTTTAAAAGCTGTCTCATAAAATACACCAAGAGCTGCGTATCACGTAACAAGAAGTGGTGTGATACAGAAATTCACATCATAAACGTGAGACAAATGATGGCCTTGAGAAGAAAAGCATGGTGTGCGTTACCAGCAGTGGTGTGCATTTCTGAGCAGGCTGTGCTAATAAAGTGGTATTTGAATGTGATTTATGAAAGATTGATGGCTAGTTTGATGAAGCTCTGAGATTACCAAATGATAGTAAGGAATGGATCGATACTCTGACAGCTTTCGTGTTCATTTACACCTTACTCTAAATACTGAGAAGAGTGAGGCCAAAAGTCAGCTAACTGGATCCTGTGTTTTTCCTAACAGTGTGATTTATGATAGCAAGCCGAGTTACATAGCAAGCATTCAAGGCCCTGCTCACTAGTTAGACAACATGAGGCATGCCTAGACAGAGGCAAATAGAATTAGGGCTATTTGTAAATGCATGTAACTTTTAGATTGTGCTAAATGCCTTGAGACTACAAAATTATTAATGTATTCATTATTAATCCACTTATTAGCGTGATTAAGTATTAGCTCCTACAATCTGAGCTGATTTGTGTTCTAACAGTTTAAGTGCTGGTTTTAAGATATACTTGCAATCGTAATATAGAATATTTTAGAAAGTTCCTGCAAAGGTGAGTAAATATTTATAATTCTTCTATCCTTTATTGCAAGGGATCTTCTAAAAAGATTTTAGAAGATCTTGGCTTTTGCCAAGGCCTGCACTTGAATACTTTTTGCTTACCTTACATTACACAGATTCTCCCAAACAATTTCCACTCCTTCCTGTTCTCTGGCTCCCTTTGACTTAACCTTCTTATACCTTCCTTGGCTGATCTAACTACCTTTATGAGTCACATTTCATAAAGCTAGTTGCTCCATGCTTTTATTTTTTAGATGCCTTTTGGTTTCTGCTGAAAGACTGTATTCCTTGCACCTTCTCCTTAAAAGATTAAGTTTGCATTTGAATTGGTGGAAAATGCCAACAATGTTGAACTTTTTACAGATATGACTATGGATGATGTTCGAGAATACGAGAAAAATATGCATGAAAAAACCAACATTAAAGTTTGCAACCAACATTCATCTTCTGTGGATGAAATAGAGAGCCATGCCAAAGCAAGAGTATGTCAATTTTTAAAACATATTCCCGTCCTCAACTGATAGATGCAGGGATCAGAGAATAGCAGCCAGCTGATCTTGCTGATCAGTCAGTGGAATTTCTGGGAGATCAGAACAGCATTCAGCATTTTACTCCCTGCAGTGCGATCAGACCTTTCTTCTGCACTGTGAATGGCCACTGAAGAAAGGGTGGGTTTGGGCTCATGTGCACCTGCTTATGAGAAAACAAAATTATCCAATCTCAGTTGGATACATAAGAGGTTGTTAAATATCCATTTTGCATTCTACTATTTGAATAGTTTAAAGTGCAAAAGTTCAGAGTCAAAAAGCCAGGAACGTGGAGAGTGGAAAGGGTCTGTGAGACTGGTAACATTTTTTGGTTGACCGGAAAAGAAAGTGAATGACTCGTTGACTGACTAATTTAATGTCCTCACTAACCAGCTACCAACAAGGGTAGAGGAAGCACTTTCAGAAGTGTGTACCTGCAGTCTGTGCAGAAGTGCAGATGTCTGTACAGGTGCTCTGATTCAGATTGTGGAAACTGTAAGAAGCTGGGTTCCTCATTTGGGCACTTCAAGCAGATGCCTAAAATTGAAAATTAGTATCTGCAAATAGAAAAGGTGTGGTAATATTTGCTTCTAAAGGTATTATTCTTTTGCTTCTACTGACTGAGCTGTAGAACATAGCAATGGTTTTACTCAAATAACAAGCATGGGGCAATGCCTGCTGTCCTAAATCCTTTGTTCTTAGTAAGAAATCTCACCAGCCTGATACAAGGTTACCTACAGCATAGACCAAGAGTCAGATTTGACTTTGGCTCTATGCTGCAGCATTTGGGTTGAAGGAAATCTGCCATTCTGAGTTCCCATGCAGCCAAATTACCATGGAGGTCAGGACAGAATTAGTCATTAAAGAAAAAAGAGACAGCAGGTGCATTTCCCACAGTCTGAACCTTTTTAGCTCAGGGTAAGTACTTGTTTTGCTTGAGTGTAAATCAGAACAGAGGTGATTTTAAAGCGAGTGTGAGCTGAAAAGTGAAATTTAGCTGAAGGGACAAAGAGTATTTCATATCTGAATTTAAAATTGGCAGGCTTGGAGAATATTTTGTATTGAGACTTCCATCAGTCTTCACTTAAATGGACAGTAAACTGATAAGTCTTCCTGTCCTGTTTCACTCTGATTCTTTCAAGATAAGCTTTATTTTATTTTGTAGAGAACTCCTTAATCAGAAAGAACTGAGATTGATGCATGGTCTTCCTTCGATGTCAGAGTATTTTCAAACAGTTTGGGTTCAGAAAGACTGCGCTCTGTTACAGAACAAAATGCAGTGAAGTCAGCAGACCAGGTTCAAATCTGTCTCAAAGACAAGGAGGTGCAGTTCCTCTGAGACCATCTGTTTATTTCCACCACTTATCTCCGATTTGAAAATTGCTTAGTCCTCACCCCTGATAAGTGGCACAGCTCTGCAGGCTGAAAGGGTCCTTGAAGTGTAGTCTGCATCCAAGTGAGAAGGCAGCTGGCAGCTTGTGTGTTTTGTGTTCACATGCTGTTATACAACATAAAGCTTCTTCTGTGTAACATTTACAGCTAAGGCTACAGATGCCTGCTGCTGGGTAAGATTAAAAAGTTTCAATGTACTGAAAAGGTAGGATTTTGTCATACATATGGGAAGCACTATTGCCAGTCCCATGTCTCAGACATCCAAAGGTGCCAGAATCTTAAGTTGATTGAAAAGCCATTATTTATATTTCTGGGTTTGTTTGTCTTGTTGTACTTCACAGAAAGCAGAGAATCTGTAAAATGCTTTATGGAAACCTGGATGGAACAGCCAAAGTGCAGTCTTGAAAATGGAATGCCATATACCAGGAGATTTATATAGTCATAAAATTGAAAACAGTGGAGAAGAAAGAAGAGAGAGGGGAAGCAGAAATGACTTTTGTTATTTGAATATGAAGTGGTAGTTATCCATATCCTACCAAAGTCCCACGTGGGTTGGATCAAAAGTTCCTTTCTTAACCCTGAACATCACCTGACCCTGCTGTCGTAGTGCCAGTGGGGCCAGGGAGCAGCAGAACTATCTGACATGTATTCAAAAAAATAAACAGAATTATCAGCTGACTGTTTTTTTAATCACATCTCCCAAAGATTTGTTGGGATTAATAGAATAATTGCACAGAGAGAACTTGGAAGAGATTTTAGTGGACATCCTCTCACGTGTTGTTTTTTTCCTCTTTGGTGGCAGTCAGCTATTTCAGCTGGTATTTATCAGATATTGGGTTTTGCTCTGTTCTGTTTGGGTGGATTTGAATATGCTGAATTTCATTCTGTGAATCCTTCAAACACAGATTTACCAAAACGTTCTTTGAAAACCTTAAAATGTATTTCACTTGGCTCAGTGGACATCTCGCAGGTGGTACAGGCGTGAAGCAGCAGGTTTCAAAAGTGCCTTGCTGATGTTTTTGCTCAAATTATTTGCCATTCGTTTAGGATTTTATCAGAAAAACTTTTGCACAGCTCAGTTTAGAAAACATAAAATCACAGAATCGTAGAGTAATTTAGGTTGGAAAAGACCTTCAGGATCATTGGGTGTCTATGCTGGGTTCACTCTGCCCTCTTGTGGGTTTTCACAGCACTGTGACACATTTGTCACCTGATAATAAGGCTTTCGCTCCTTTTAAAACATCCCATGGACCTTCTGTACAAAGTGTCCTTGACCTCTCGTCTCATTTTGCCTCTATTTTCCAAGGTATTGAGCATTGGATTGTTGGAAAGCATGTTGTGACTGTATCAAGTCAGAGAGAATTCTGTAGGAATTTGCAGTAGAAAAGCATGATGTCCTCAGTTATTTGTGTGCCACTGTAACTAGAAGTCAATGGAAGCTGTGCATGGGGAGAGAGAATTTTTCATCCCTTGATAATTATGGTGAGGAAACAAACCCATTTATCAGCTCATGCTGATAATCTAGGTGAAAAGAAAAAGAAAAGGTAGAGTTCTGAAGAATTCTACCTGCTGACTCTGTATCTAAGCGTATTTTTAATTGCCTGTGAAATATCCTGATTTTTCCAGCAATTAAAGAGGTAGTTCTCTTAGTTCAGTTTAGACCCAGATGGAGACAGACCCATTAATACGTGCTTAATGTGCTCAGCATCTTTTGTTTTACACTGTCCATTTATTGTACTCCAATCAATGCATTAAAATAGGAAGGAATTCCTGCAAGACATTTAGTGATATGGCTGATAAGCAGACATTCTCTGATGTAAAATTTGGATTGAGGTGGTTTAACTGAGGTGTGAAATCATCGTTCAAAAGGATTCTGACATGCCCTTTGTCTTTTTTCCTTCTTGTTGAAGACATGACGATGGATGAAGTCCGAGAGTTTGAACGAGCAACTCAGGAAGCTACCAACAAGAAAATTGGCATTTTCCCACCTGAAATATCTATCTCTAACATTTCCATGCCTTCTTCAACCCGCAGTGCTCCATCTAGTGCTCCGTCAACTCCTCTCTCTACAGATGCTCCTGACTTCCTAACAGTACCCAAAGACCGGCCTCGGAAAAAGTCTGCACCAGAAACCCTCACTCTTCCAGATCCAGAGAAAAAGAAAAATTAAATTAACCCAGCATGATTCCTCCTGATAAGCCATGGCTACCGCAGCAAGAGTAACATATTGTAGTTTCTAGGAAGATTGTGGTGGTTGGTTGGTTGTTGATGTTTGGATATTTTTGCTTAAAATAATTTTACTGTTGTGGAAAGACTGTTTCTTTCCTCAGACTTGATCCTCATAATCTTCAGAGAAGTGCATGCAAAAGAACATAGTTGCTATATCTAAAGTAGTGTTCCAAGCCATATGGTCCATCTTACTGACATACGATGAAGTCGTCTGAGGAGAACTCTATAAAAGAAAGTCTTTCTGTAGCAGTATCTCTATGTACAAATCCACATCTAGGTCATAGCATTTATATTTAGGAATAGGTATTTAGTAAAGCTGCCAAGGACTTCTGAGGCAAATCTGTGCCAACCAGAATGCAGGGTTAATAGGAAAAAAGCTCCCTTTTTCTTTGTTTTTTTTAACTGATTTTAAAATCCTGTTCTCAGGCTTGTCGTGTGTATTCATAAACCTTTGACCTGCAACTCATTGTACTTGAACACCAATAACAATCACTCAGAATCATATCGTGCTTAATATGACTCAGGATTTGGGGCTTGGCTAACAAAAATGAAACTTTTCAAACCTAAAATATCACTGTATGAAGCCCCAGTTGTAATTAATTATATTGACTTTGAGGCCATTTAAGTATTTCTATCTTGCACAGAATTTGTAAAAGAAACCACCTATTTCTTGTAGATAATGTATTTTAATAGCTCTCCCCTGTCCTTTTGTGATAAAACTTAAGTTCGTACTGGTGTTCGTCAGTGGTGTTCTGTGTACAAGATTGGGGGAAAAAAGCAGCTAAGTTGAGCCAGTTGAGAAGGAAAACCAATGAATTCTGTCTTGCCCACTCTGGAAAGAGAGTGCTGGTTACCCTGTAAGACCTTGAATGTAAAGGAGAGAAAATATGAGACTCTTTTCTTTCCTGCCTCTCATCTTTCCTAACCAGCACAATCTCTGCTGTCAGAAAGCTGGCTCTAGGCTTTACCACTGTCTCTTAGGGAAGGGATGAATAAAATCAGTCACTTGGAAAAGCAAATGAATCTTGGGGCTTCTCAGTCCCACGTAGGTGGCATTAAGGAAACAGCAGTGCTCCTCCTGGTCTGCGCGTGAAATCACTCTTCAATCTCAGGAATTAAAATACAGAAAGGATGCTTCCCAGCTTGGAAGTGTAGATTGTAGGGGGAAGAGAAATGAATTTCAGAAGTGTTCTCTTCCTTCATTTTTTATCAAAAAGTAAACTCAGTGACAAACCTTCCTTCTGGCCCCCCCTTTGGGGTACTTTGTTCTCTTTCAGACTAATTGCTATTTAATTAATGTTGTCCATATCTATCTCAATTGGTAGCTGTAGTAGGCATTAAATAAGCTGGTGTTCTATTCCCAGTGAATGATAGCTATTACCTGAATCATATGATTAAAGTCAGTAGTGTTTTGTACCACTGGTGGTGATGTACATGGATGCAAAACAGTCCTCCAGAGCTGAACTGTCACTGAACATTGAACAATCAGTTTGGGGATGGCCTTTTACCTGCAAGGAAGTTTGTGCCATCTTCTCTGCACAATGCTATGATTTGACTGGCTTCAATGCACTGAACTTCTCAATGGCTGTAGATCCAATAGAAGTTATGTTGAATGTGTGGTATTTCTAGAGTAGTTGTAGAGCAGGGAAGGTGATTCTGCTGTCAACCTGCACTGAAAACAAGTGTATATTTGTTTGATAGTTTAAACCCTGTACCTAGCAAAGTCTAGTAGCTCTTTGTAGGTTAGCTATGATCTGACTTCATGTATTTTCCCACTTACTGTCCATGTTTTACGTTGTTTCCCAGAGGTTGTAATTCTGTGTAGTCAGTAAACTAGCAGGTGATAATGATTTTTCGTTTGAAAATAGCTGCTGTAATGCTACAAACAAAACTTTCCTTCGTTAGTAAATGATTTCATCTTAAAATTGTGAGACATAGTAATGACTATAACTGGTCTAATCTCTCTTTTTTTTTTAATTTGGTAGCATGATTGAAACATTGGCTGAGAAGGGAAACTCTTGAAAAGCATTGATTATTGTTTTTTATTTCCTAAATTTAACATATCGAAATAGTTTGGGTCACCTCTGCCTATGGATAGTCTTATTTTTTAAAGAGCTCGTTGTTTGCCCAAGAAGAAATTGCCCAACTCTGGTCATCACTTCCTAGTGCTTAAGTGTTACTGTTTCGATACAAGTTTTGGTATCTGATGCAGATTATTAGACCAAAGCAGTCGTATCTTGTATTTGACTGATTCGTTCCTAATGCCATGTGGAGATGTGGATTATCATATCATGTAGGATTTGGAGAATGAGAAGTATGATAATTACTGACATGCCTGAATAGGACACAGCTTACTAGCTGCATGGCAAATACTGTAGGAGAAAAATGCTGATCGTGTTGTGGACAAAACGCCTCCCCCTGCATGCGCTGCTGCCGTAGCTGTGCCACACGTTACTGCTCCAGAGGAGCGCCAGGTTTATTGACCAAACAGCCTGAATTCACTGCTGGCCAGAACGAGGTTCATGATTATCCACATTACCTCCTTTTTGCTCACTAATGAAGGCAAATAAAAAGATGTAGAGTGTCTCATTGCTTTCGGTAAGAAATATCCCAGGCTTTCCATTGCCTGTGCTTGTAAGCTCTGCTGTGTTCTGCTTTGTTTTCCCCGTCAGCCAGCAGTTAACCAGTTTGCCCAGAAGAATTTTAAATATCATCTCTTTTTCTGTGTGTGGTTGTTGTTGTTGTTGTTTTACATTTTTATATAGGATAATGTTTTCCCAGCAAACACAAAATCACAAAAAATTAAATGGAAAGGAAGGTCAGAATGTCAGTAACATCTTGAGGCAGAGGTTCTTTCCATTACTGATTTTATCGCAGTGCTTTCTCTTGTATTTTCAAACTTCTTATGTGAGGAGAAAGAAGGAATTTTGCAGGTGTTAGCCCTTCTTTTGCAACAATAAATCACGTGGTTGGTGAGTATGATCGTAAGAGGATGTTGGCACCCAGCAAAGCTGACGAGGCACAGTAGCTGTGTTCCTATTCTCTGCCAGGGCAAAGAATTACATGATACAGCTCTGCCAGGACAGGAAGTTTTCAGTAAGGACAATACAGTTCGAGAGCAAATAATGTGATTAGTTTGTTTGGGTTTCTATTAAAGCCTTCTCCCAGCTTTGCTCATGTTTCATAGGGAGCAATTGAAATAACAGTTCATTGTGGTCTAATAAATTCAAAAGGCTGGTACCTGTAAGGACAGTGAGGAGCAGCACATTCCTGAAACAAGCTGAACGGGATTTCTGATGAATGTAGTTGTAAATGACTGGATAAATCCTGTGGAAAGAAACTATTTGACCTTATTCTTTGGCTTTTTTGATTATTCTGGAAGGCGATTTTGTCACATCTAGTAGCCAGTTTGCATTAATTGCTGCTGTAGAGAATTTGAAACAGAAATGTTTGTTCCTTGACTTTTATTTTGTAACAAGACTGCTAAATTTGTTTAAACTGCTTTGAAGCTTGCTGCACTGTAACTTCAGAACAATGTGCTAGCATTTGAAATACGCCAAACGAGTGTGCTTTGTAAGAGTTAGTGAGCACAGTAAGAGAGATTCATGATCTTATCGATAGGAGCTTTTCTGTTTCCATTGTTTGGACTTGGTTTTATATGTGCAAGTTAAAATTGCTAAGTACGTCTAACAATGTTTTGCTTTAAAAATGAACAGCATGATCATTGAATTACAATCTCCTGTAGTCTTATGGTGTCACTTTAAGAAGTTTCATTGTTTTATTTCATTTCTGTGGTAATTCCCTGTGACTCTGAATGTCTGGTAATTCATTTCTTTTATTTAGAACTATGATAGCTACATTAGGCAATACATTACTACCATCAGAGAAGGACCAAGTCTCGAATTGCTCTGCATGTTAAATAATGCAAGGCTAAGCAGGAGAATTTGATTGGTATATTTTTCATCCATTTCACTTAGTTTCTGACTTTTCCAAGTTATTTATTATTTTTAATATTGTATTTTTCCTCGTGTTTTGTTGTAAATAAACTGCCAACAACTATTCTTTACAAGTGTGGCTGTTGTCTTTTACACATTGTTCTCTAGCAAGGAACATGGATATTTCTACCACCAGCTCTACAAGTCAGTTCCTCAAAGTAAATAGCACAACGAATTGGCATTGTAAGGGAAATTGAAACCACTTTCCTGCACCTCCTAGATTTTGTTGCTCCTCCACTGCAGGGTGAATGCCCTGTCAGCCTCATCTTAGCCCATTCATTTGTAAAAGGCCACTTGGTTGATAAGCTTTCACTGGAAGTTAGAAATTAGAATTTCTAATTCTCATTGGTGTGTTTTGCAGCCCCGTGTTGTGGTGAATACAGGGAAAGAAAACAGGAAAGGTTTCAAAAGAAAGAAGTCCTCCCTCACTTACCTACAAGCCATTTCCTTTGTTGACGTAAATTTCATGTGTAAAATGATTCTTTAAGTTTTCAACTAAAGGCTTACTCGATACACATCAAGTTTTCTCTGCCCCAAAGGAAGTGACTTATTTGCTTATTCATATAGAGATGTTTCACAATAGTGTAGATGTGGAAATAAGGAAAATCTGTGTAAAAAGCATGTAAGGTAGAAATCACAGAGTGCAACCTTCAACCTGTCAGGTTGCCACAGCTGCTTTGGGAGTCAGCGCTGCATGCAGCAGAGGGTGCCACGAGGAGCTGGCATCCTGGGAGCTCCTACCAGCCCCACACTGCAGCTGGGGATCCACTGAGTGCCACGTCCCAGCCAAGCTGGAGGAGTGCCTGAAGCAGTTCTCTGCCTTTCATGACCAGCTGAAGAAATGCAGATGCAGGAATGCAGTAATGACGTCAGTAATGACCCATAAAGTCCTGCCAGAGGGAATAAATGAAACACCTGGCATGGAAACATGGCTGTCATGCACAGGTGCAGCAGTGGATGGATGGGATGGAAACATCCAGGTACAATCCAACATTGAATGGTTTGGTAACAGCAGGCTGGGGCCGTGCCTGCACACAGCTTTGGTTCTGACTGCTGTTGGCCCTCAAGTGTGCTTGTGACCGTTCTCCACTAGACGAAGGCAGAGCTGGACTCCTTGGCAGAGGTTTGTCTGCAGCACAGCCTCAAAAAGTGGTGCTCACAGCACGTGGCCTCTGACAGCACGCAGCAGCTGGGGCCTGCGGTAGGTGTTGGTTGTCTTGCCTTTTTGTGGTTGGGTTTTACATGTTGGATTTGTGTTGCTAGGGCTTTCAGAATTTGCACACAAACAAAAAAAAAAAGACTAATACACACATACATCATGGATCAGCCCAAACCTGGATCTGATCTTTGCTCAGGTTGTGTCAGTTTGCACTCCTGCAGAAGGAATGCATTAATTACAAACCTCTTCTATAATGTATACATTTCCTATGGCAGAAGCACCTTTAATTAAAGCAGCAGCACTTCGCTGTGTAGATGCAAAACCACTGAAGCCTTTTGTTGAACACCTGTGCACATCTCTCCAGCACCATGAAGCCCTCACACATCACACTGGAATGTTTGGGATTAATATCACACATGAAATACATTGGAAACAGCTGAATAAATAAAATCCTAAATGTTCTTAATGCCCACTTTGAAATGGGACAGTGAAAAATTATCAGCTCTTCGTTTTTTTGTAATACTTAAAACCCGCAGTGTTGTTTCTATACACGCTGAACGCCGCCTCGCCCGCAGCTCCGCGGTAGCGGCACAGCTCTGCTCTCCTCGCACCGGAGCGGAACTTCCCGAGCGGCCTCGTCCATTTCCGCCGCCGTCTCGCATGGGGGCGCTGCCGCCTCGCCCAGCCTGCGTAGCGCGCAGGCGCGGTGTGACGCCGCTGCTGGTCTCGCGAGAACTGAGCGCTCGCTAAGATGGCGGCCCTGTGCGAGGCCTTCACGCTATGCGGTTTGGGGCCCACCGGCGGCGTCGGCCTCGGTAGCGGCCTTCTGGCGCTGGAGCCGGGTGCTGATCCCGACCACGTCCTGCTTACCGACCGCGGCAGGACGGCCACGCTTTTTAAGGTAAGGGCCCAGCCCTGGCCGCTCGGGCCGGCCCGTGTCGGAGTACCCGCGCAGCGCCTCGCGGGGAAGCTCCAGGGATACCGCGGGCGGAACGTGGTGGGAGCGGCCTCGGGCAGCGGCCCCGCTTCAAGCCGCGCTGCTGGGGAGCGGCCGCTGTCCCTCCCCACTCACCTGTGCTTCCTTCGCTGCACCCGTGGCAGCGGCCTTAAGCGATCCCCCAAGTGGTTCCCGTGCTGTTTCATTTCCTCTCCGTTCCGTGGCACGCAGTATTCACAGCCCAGGGGTTGTCACCTCTCCGTGTCGCTCAGGTGACTGCAGTTGAGCCCAATTGTCAGTTTGGTGTCAGCTGCCTTCCTGTTGGGTGGAGAACAAAGATTTAAGTGTGCTCGCAATACTTGACCTGTAGGTTGTAGTTGCTTCTTTTAACATATGCATCTGTTGCAGTGACCATTAAATGAAACTTTCTGAAAACGCCTGTCTCTATGTATTTGGTCACGGGGCTGGGGGTTGTGTCTTAATGAAGCCGTGGTGTAATCTCCTGTCATGGGCCATTTCTCCATGTGGAAAAAAAAAAAAAAGCTCTTAATTACGCAGAGCTCCACTGTACTCTGAAATGCTGGTATTGCAGTTAAGAACGCTAAGTTATGAGTCCTGTTAGGGTGGAACTTTCCTTATTTTTGTGTTCTCATTCGGTCATGAGAGCAATCCCCAGCGTGTACTGTTGCATATTAATTACATGACTTTGTCCTGATTTTTCTAGGTCTCAGATCAGAAGCCACTGGGCTGTTGGTCAGTTAAACATGGGCAGATTATCACGTGTCCAGTTGTATGCAACTTTGAGACTCATGAATATATAGCTGTTCATGATAACAAGGTGAGATTCTTTTCTTAAGGGGGAAAATGATGTCACGAGTCATGTGGGTGAATATAGGCAGGGAAGAGATGGGGAGTGCTAGATTCTTAGCTAATGGGAATGTGTGGAGCTCTCAACACTTCATGACAAGCTTTCAAAGCTGGTAATGGTGCTTTAATGGTGTTGTATCTCAGGTCATCTCTGCTCTTATTCTGGATAGTGCAGTTCCAAGGCGGCACAGTCCGTTTGTTAGTGACATGAAAACCATCTGTGCTGAGCATCAGTTACACAGTGGCCTTTTAAAAACTGAAGCATTCTCAGTGAAGAATGCCTCATGCACACATTTACTAAGAGTAAGCTTTTCTTGTTGCAGACTGGTAGAAATTTAGAACTGCATGATTGTTATGTTGAAGTGGTTCAGGGCTGCATCCTTGTCTATCTACTCTTGTCTTATGGTTACACGTTTCCTGGTTGTGTACTTTTGGCAATGCTTGCTCAGCACTTACTGATCACTTGGCTTTTTTGTTGTTAATGAAATATTCTTTTTGACCTTGAAATGTTCCCTTCCAGATCAGACCATCTGTATCTTAATCTGCCTCCATTGCTTTGATCAACTTGAATTTAGAGTTCTGCTGTCTCTTTTTTGTTAGCCACATTCTTACCTATCACTTCTTTCAAGATCAAAATGTTAAGCTGTATTTGTATTCTTGTGGTTTCTGTTTCAGCTTCTTCCCATGCAAACTTCCTAAGTCTGTTTTCAGTAAGGCTGCTTAAATACTTAGCTGCATGTTTTCCTCCTTTTTCAGTAAGGTGCAATTGCTGTTATTTTATATGATAAGAAGTCGATGTGCTGCTGGTTTGCTGCTTAAAAAATGATGTTTCTCTTTAAGGTTTTACGAATATGGAAGGATAAAGATGTTAACTTGGACAAAGTATTTAAAGCAACAGTAAGTCTCTTACGTATGTTCACTTTTAACGCTTTGAATCTCAGGGGGTTGAAGAGATGCTGACTTTTATAATACTGATAGCATTACAATTTAGCTGATAGGTGTCTTGATTTGTGGTTTGTGATGTTACGGAGCATTGCAAGGAATCCACTTCAGTTGATAGGCTTAATCATCAAAGCACCACACATAAAGTGATGGCTGTCCAACATTTGAAAGGACTTTTGTGATTGTGAGTCGTGGTGAAGGACAAATATTTTCTGTTCTGCTGGGGGACACGAGAAACAGCACTTTGTGTAATGGTGTACAGCAGTTGTTTGAGCTCCTTTACTTCAATTTTTCTGATGTCATTTATAAACTTCATGCTCATCAGGATGCTTTCCTGGCTTTCTGTTGGGTAGTGATTTGCATTACTAATAGCATTTCCAAAAATAAGCATTTTTTTGGTATCTTGCAGGTTCATCATCCTTGTGTTACTCATTTAGTAAGATAACTTCTTAAAAAATGTTATGTAAAACACTTGGCTTTCAAGGTAATGCACTGATGAACATAGGACTGAAACAATTTCCTTTTATTTTTAGCTTTCAGCTGAGGTGTACAGAATACATTCGCTGCCCCATGCGGAGCCATTGGTGTTATTCAGAGGAGGGGCTGTTCGAACTTTAGATGTTCTTCTGGAAGCTCCACAACAAGAAATTGAAAACGTCATCTCAGATGAAGTCATCAAGTAAGTGATACAAAGTTATGAATCCTGATCCTTGATCAGAGGAGCTCACGTTGTTGCACCCTTCTTTGTGAGGAGGAGAGAGGAAACCTTAAGGTGAACATCCCAAGGTCAAGATCTTGGGATTGATTTGTTGATGATGATGATTTATTTTTTTTTCAATGCATTGACTTTTAAAACCTTAAACTTTTAGTACAGATATAAAAGTAAGAGGCTGCCAGAATAATTATGATGTGATTTTTAAATGTAGTCCCAGAACTCAGAAAATGTTTGTACCTCTTTCTGCTTTCAGGTGGAGTGAAGCATTACTGGAAGGTCAACAACCTGTCTTAATTTTCGTTACAGAGAAAGTGAGTTTAACAAACATTTAGCTTTCACAACTGCGAATCTAAATCCTTCTTGTAGAATCCATCACTTGTTTAACTGGATTCTAAGAGAGTTTAGTGAAATAATTATTCTGTGTGCGTGTTGTCTGTGGCCAGTACTTACATGGGGCTGTTTTCAGGGCTGGATAGCTTGGCTCTTAAAAGTTCAGAACAGCTAAGATTAAATATAATACACAATCGATTGATTTCATTTCTCTCCTCATGCAGTTGTTCCTCCCTGTGAATCTATTTGTTGCATCAAACACAAATTCCTGTCTTGTTAGCATTCAGAATAATTCAGTAGAAATATCTGAACTTGTTAGCCCTTCTTTCTGTCAGTTAAAGACAATCTTTTTCCTCTTTGTTTTAGGATGGGGATTTTTTTGTCTACATACAGAAACTTAAGATGAGGAGTCTACATAAATACAAGCTTGAACAACAGGAATTGTCTAATCCGCTTTGTTTCACAGCATATATAAAAAAGCAGATTATCACACTTCTGTGTTTATGTGAGTTAAATTTTCTAATGTTTTTTTCTAATATTAAAACCGTAAGTTACATAGAAGGACATAAAATACTGATGTTTGTGAATTACTGTTTAATATTTTTGCTCTTCTCTGTTGAACGTTCTATAACAGCAAATGGCAGACTGAACAGTTAAATTTTCCTGATATTTTAGTTGTTGAGAAGGCTTACTGATCTTCAACATTATAACTTGTACTTTAAAAAGCTCCTGAAAGCTGTGCTTTCATTTTTCTGCTTTGCATGGTAATGTGCCCTTTAAGTATCCTATTTTACTTCTTTTCTCAGTGCTCATCTTGCCATGTTGAAGTTTTTCTTAATGTCAGACGTAAAGACATCATTTGTTTGCTTTGACAGACTCCAGTGACTCTGTATATAAAGTTCTGATACCTCTACAGCAAAATAGTGAAGAGGAAGAGCAAACTCTATCCAAATCACTACTACTAAACCTTTCAATATCTGGAAGTGCTCTAAAAGGAACTTCTTTTGTTATTCTTGATAAAGACCATGTTGCAGTACTGGGAAGTCTAGCAGCATCTGGTGAAGAATCCAAAGGTAACTGGAAAAGTCAGATGAAGGTGTCTGAAGTTCTACAACATTCTTAAAGCAGCAGGTGTTTTGTGTCTTGCTTTTTGTTCTTGATTGTTTTTGATTAACAGAGCAGATGAATAAAGAGCACTGCTGTTTCTTCTTTAGTGAATATTACGAACACTGCATATTAAATGAAAAGGTTGGCTCTTAAAACTGAGGTACGCAGGGAAATGAACCTCATGTACTGTAATAAAATGGTATCTTAAAGAAGTTGAATACTTGTTTCATGACTGAGCTTCTGAGATGTGGGATCACTGAAAGTTAAGCCACTGAACAGCGTTTTATGACTGAAAGTTACAGAGATTTCAGTTCTTCTCATTGCAGCTTTTTCTTCAGTGCTCTTGGCAGAGAGCTGGTTTTCGGACTTGTTTGTTGAGAGACCGAACAGACACATTGCGTAATGCTGAGTGCATTATTAAGCAGAGTTATTTTGAAACAGTTACTTGTGTTTCCTGAAGTGTTTCTAACTGAAAGTAACAAAAGAAAATGTAGCATCTTTTGTTGCTTTTGGCTTTGTCACATTTCTCTCTTTATTTTTCCTAGAATGCCTAACAATATGGAATACAAAATTTCAAACATTACAAGCTTCAAAGGAACTGCCCCTGGGAACCAGTGGACAAGTGAGTTCAGTCTTTGTGGCTCATAAACCTTCATTGAGTGCATATGGCACAATAGAAAGGAGACCAGCAAACTGCAGTTATGGTTCTGGAAGAGCAGTAAACGCCAGCTTCTGAAACAAAACTAATACTGGCCAACTGATGACCTGTTTTTGTCATAATCTCTAAACAGGAGCACAGTTTAGCAAAATCCGTAGTAATTCTGTACTTCTGGTTTTTGTTAGCCTTGTTTGGTGAGAATGAAATCTTCAGCTGGTATTTATTACATTCTGAAAGCTTGCAAGTGACCGTGGTTCAGAACATTCAGCTGTCAATAGTAAGTGAACTGGAACCTAATTAATAAATACACTAGTTAAGTAGAACAGCTGACTCATTTTTTGTCATAAAATTGTACAGGAAGGAATTTTAAAACTAATAATTAAAAAAATCAAGTGGACCTGGTGCCTCAAAGCAGTCACTTTAGTTTAAGGCATCCTTGGAAAATATTCAACAATGCAGTCATTTCCATAGATAGAATCAACAGTCAATGAAGGTCTGTTAATGTGTTAAAAGCTACCAAAAATAACTGCTAAAATCATCTGATTGCTGATTTCCAGTTGAATTTTGTAGTTGGAAATTAAAGATTAGCATGTGCAGAAATGCACTCCTCATTAACAATGTGTTTAATATTTTGTAGCTCTGGTGTTATGGGGAAAAATTTTTCTTCACTCATGGAAAAGTGCTAACAGTAGTTATATACAAGTGTGAAACTTCATCCTTGGCAGCTGCTGTGGGAAAACTGAAGGACAGTCAAACCTCTGGTAAGAAGTTCTCTGACTGCAGTGATAGCTAGCAGGAAAACTTCTGAAATTGCATAAAAATTGTTTTAATATTGTATAGAATCAGTTAAGCCTAAACTGCTTGAAGTAAGTTGGTGTATTCAGCTGTTAGATCTTAGTGTTCTTGGTGAGAACATCAGAGAATTTGAAGCATGCAAATGTTTGAACTTACAGGGGCATCATTCAAATGCTGCAGTTATTGAAAACACTGAGATGCTGGTATAAACATTGAACCAATTAAAGCACAGTCTTTTATGTTGTGTTTTCCAAGCACTTATTACTAAGTGGAGGAGTACCAAGCCTAAGTTTGTAAACTTGAGGTTGAAGAAAATACAAGTGAGAAGTACTGCTTAGCACTGTACTGAGAAAATGGCAAATGATGTTTGCAATAAGTTGTGGAATAACTTTTCTCCTCCTACCAGAGACTAAAAAGGGAAAACATGCAGAACGTCTCAAAATTACTTACTGCTAAGAGAAAACAGGGAAGTTCCTTTGCAAAAAATGTATTACACTTCACAAGATGCGTATTAGCATCAGAAGTTTTTAATAAGTAGCATTGTTAACTTCATGTAGCTTCATTTTTGTCTTCGCAGATCTTTCTTCATTTGTAAACTGGAATACTCTTGGAGATGAAGAGCTCCTGGTTTCCTATCAGTCACAGCAGTCTGTAGCTCTAAAGTCTGAATCCAAAATGACAGTAAGTTAACACAATGAATGTGTGAGCTTGTGTGCTTCGTGTTTGTCTCTTCCCAATGCTGCTATTTTAAATGTAATTTGTAGCAAATGACACACGATGTTCCTATTTACCTTGCTTGAAATCCTTGAATTGCCTCTTTGGAGCTGAATAATAACTTGTTTTTCCTTATTACAGTTAAGATCAAAAAAGAGCGCCGTTGAGAGCATGCAGCCAGATGCCTCCACAATTGGGTGGTTCTTACTATGTATAAAAGTAAGTACACCAAGTGGCCTTAATGAATTTTCAGTCACATTTGAGAATATTCCAGGCACCTCCTAAGCTGTTATCTTCTCACATTTCCTCTTGTGTAGATCAAGCTGAAGAAGCTGCCTTAAACAGGTTTGTTGGAGGATTCTGTTATTACTGTGTAAAAGCAGTGTTTGGGCACAATGAAGTTTTGTCATAGGAAGATGTAATATAAGTGTTCAATATGGGGTTTATAACAGCTGTCTGAATTCTGAGAACTTGCACGAATGCATTTTCATAAATGCAGTAAATAAGGTGAGAAGATGTTTCACCTGTTTTTTGTTTTTTGTTTTTTTAATAGTTTAACTTTTTTTTTTAGTGTGTTTTTCACTTTGACGATATTTTGGATCTAGTAAGTCACAGTGCTAGGAAAAAGGTGCTGTAAGTTGCTAATTGTAAATTATTTGTCACATAATTATGCATCTTTATTGTTTTCAGAAGATAACATTTAACTTATTTCCAAAACAAGTCAGAGAATGTACTTGGCTCCCCATCTGGTCACTTGGTTCAATATATCGTTTGGTGAGTCAGCATTGAAGCGAGTCCCAGGATACCATGGGATGGGTTGTGTTGGACAGGACCTCAAAAGAGCACCTCATTGCAACCTCCTGCCCTGGGCAGAGGCACTCCCCACTTGATTGCTTGGTGTTGCATCCAACCCGACCTTGAAAATAAACATAATGGTGATACAAAAGATATGGTAACTGTATCTGTATTCTGATACGGTTCCTTTTGAAATCTTGTTGCAAGTGTTGTGATACTTTGATCTACTGCCTTCCTCTGTGAGCAGTCCTCAAACCTATGCCTTGTACATCTGAACTGCATGGTATTTCATTTTCAGGATGCTTCCACAACTGCTGTTGAAGGTGAATTGAGACAACTGTTGTCAAAAGCACAGAGACCAGATTTTCAGGCCACCATTGGATGTGTAATAAGTGCTCTAATGAACAGGTGTAAAACAGATCCAATGTTCTACCCTCGAAACTTCCTGGTACAGATGATCCAGAAACGAGAGTTATCTTACAGGTGATAATTCTGGATTTTTTTTTTCTTTTTTTGTTTAAAATTGTAAGCCAAAGTTTCTAAAAAGCAGAAATTCAGTTCTTCATAAAAAAAAAAAAAACTCCTTGATTTATCAGGTGCTTATATTTGGTTTCCTTTGAAGTCTATTGCTTGTTTTCTGATGAAGCTGACGATTCTCAGATGGATTTTTGTGTAAAACAAGATTAATCCTTCTGCATTCTTTGTAACTGGAGCTTTCAGTGAGTGTGAACTCTGCAGCCTATTCTTTTCATATTCTAACAGTTTGTGTCCAGACTTAATGGCTGTTGCTTTAGAGAAAAAAGATGTACATCTCTTACAAATCTGCTTACAACGGTTTCCAGATATTCCTGAAGAAATTACTTATGCTTGCTTGAAAGTATTTTTAAGGTAAGTTGGAATCAGTCTTTTTACATTATTTTTGTTTAATTACTTATTTATTCTTCACCAAACCAGGACTTTTCCTTAAAGCAAGTTTTTAGATGAGTAATTAAGTGCATAAAACTGTTAGTTCTGAGTACAGCGTGTGTTGCAGTCCTGCAGACTGACATGCTTTTTACAAATGCCCGTTGCATGCACGTATTCTAAAACTTGTATAAACAGTAATTAAAGGAAAATGCTTTTTGGTAAACTTGCTGGCTTAAATGGCACATCCTTCTACATGCTGGCCATTTACTGTTGAACAGACGTGTTCATCTTCTGCCTTAAAAAAAGCAAATATTTATTACTGAGCAGTAGGAAAACCGTAGCTGTCTTATAGGTTGAGGTAGTCCCAGCAATGTCAGAATACAATGACAGTCTTGAACAGTATGTGTATAACCTTTAAAGAAGCCTATGGCAACATCCAGTAGTTCAGCAATTTGCATTGTTGGAACACTTGAGCAAAAACATGTTGCTCAAGCTAATGGTAAAGGCTGGCTGTTTTCTTGTGGCCTTGATCCATTCTGAAACTCTCATTTTGCTGTGTATTTTCATACTCATAAGCTTCAAAGAGTCAGTGTGTGTTGTTGTGGGGTTGATGACATTGTTGGGCTTTGTTTGTTTGTTTTTAAGCTAACACTAAAAACACTAAATGTGTGTGGAATTTTTCTTCTATAGCATTAGTGATGATTATCTGGAAGGAACAGACGTGGATCTAGAATCTGTAATCTCTTACATTGATATTGAACCAAACAGTAAAGTTAAGACTGAAGTTGTAGAAAATGGTTTCAGTACTGAACTGGAAGAAGATGGTTGTGATGTTAAAGGCATGAAGGAAACCCATATGATGGACAGTGTTGAATTCTGCCCTGTTGGACCTCATAAGGCAGCATTATTGTATCCTCTGTGCGTTTAAATGAAGGACAGTCAGTGTGGTATTTATGATTTGAAAGTCTGTATAGCATTGCTGAAAATGATCTTTTGCTATTGCTGAAAATTGCTCTGTACCAATTTAAATTTAAGGAAGTGCAGACTGGAACTTTGTTCAAAGCAGTTTAGTCTCAATGCTTTTAATGTTTGTCTATTGAAATGTTAGATGGTTCCTTTCTTGCAGTAGATGGAACTGTGTTCAAGCTGACTATTGTGTTTCAGTTGCTGTATATATTTCATAATAGAAATAGCAGATTCAAAAAGACCTCTCAACCTACAGAAATATTTTAATTAAGGTTGGTTTTAGTTTGTAGTAACCAGTATTTTTCCTGCAGTAACATTTCCTCAATAGCATTGCACAGAAATGCTGTTCTTCATTCAGCTTACAGTGAAACGTTTCTTTTGCCCCATCTGAAAGACCTTCCAGCTCAGCAAGCTGTTGTAAGTATTTTGAAGCAAAGAAAGCTGAAACGCCCTCATTATTTGGGGGAAAGAAAAGAAAAAGGTGTTGGTGTGTGCATGTGTTTGTTCTGTATCAGCAACTTGCCACTAGTATATGAAAATAACATGACTAATAAGATCTAATGCTGTAAAGTATTCCATATATCCCAAATGAACACATACTATTTCTTATGGTCTGCTTATTTTAAATAAATGTAAGAAAGAAAACTTGATTATGACCAGATCTGCATGAAAAATATTTCAGTGGTGTAGTACCTACTCCTGATTTTTAAATGCTTTTAAGCTACTGAGATACTTAGTCAGATGTGGTGGAAACAGAGATTTAGAAAATGCAATTAAAACCAGAACAGATTTAAAAAAAAAAAAAAAAACCAACCCGACAGTAAACACCACACATCAGATCTGCACTTATATTAATCAACACTGATCTCCTCAAGTCTTATTCTGGAGACACAAAAACAAATGTAGGACTTGTGCTGAAAGTGCACCTGGCACGAACACTGGAACAGTGCCTACCACAGAGTGTCACTTCACACTGAGTATTCCTGAATTTTCAAATTCACAGCTATAGATGATGGAGGAGAGCCATGACACTTATTTTTAATGCTCGAGTTTCTTAATTAAAGAAAAAAAAAGGAAGATTATCACTGTGTGTTATTACCTTGTGCAGGGCAGAACTCCTAGGTCTTAAATGTTTCTTCTTACAAAACATTCAGTCTTTTCTTCTCTCAGCTGTTTCTCAGGTATTTGCACTACCTGTATGTGAAATGCAGTGAAAAAATCAACACAACTCTTCCTGGAGTACTCCCTCCAACTATAAGTCAGGTAAGCAACTAGTTCTAAAAAGTTGGGCCTCCTTCAGTTTCTCTAAAATCAACTGAGGCTTTTGTTAATTCTGTAAGGTGTTGCTTATTAGTGGACCTTATTGAGTAGCATGATGCTTTCTTTTCTATCTGAAAATAAATATCCTGCATTAAACTATGAAGCCATGTCTTTTTTATCAGGAATTAGTATTTCACAGTGTTTTTGAAGTAAAACCCATGTCACTTCTGTTTTGTTTTTTGTTCAGATTATGGATTGGATGTGCCTATTACTTGATGCTCACTTCACAGTTATGGTGATGCTACCAGAAGCAAAAAGATTGCTTTCAAGCATGCATAAGTTTGTGAGAGCCCAAGTAAGTTTTTCATAATGATTTCATTGTAGTATTGAGTTAAAACCTGGCCATTAGGATTACTCAGGGCAGGGTTGGAGAAGAACAACGCGTGTAAATAGGCAGCGTATCAATTACAATATATTGAGTGTCATAAGCCTATTCCTGAGCACTAAATACTGCTTGCTTGTCTTCATCATTTTGATCCCTAAAGGTGCTGCATTGGTTTTGTTTGAATGTATTAAACTGTGTAAGACAGCAAATGGCTACATGGTATGAATTGTGTAGAACAAGATTTAAAGTCTGTTTTGTCATAAATGTGTGGTCTTTGTTTTTAGGTACGATTCTACTCTGAACTTAACAAAATCGAAGGAAGTTTGCAAGAACTGCAAAGAATTAAATGCCAGGAAAACTCTCAGGCATATTCTATTGAAGTGCTGGAACTTATTTGAATATGAAATGAATTATTAACCAACTTGTTATTGATTCCTTTTATGACAAGGATGTATTAGCACTCCATATTGGGGATGTGAAAAGTTGAGTTTTGTGCACAGGGAGAACGCGGTTACTCAGTAGCTACGTGGGGGGTTGTGTATTAAAAGCTCTTTTTTGACTGGATGATTTTCATATATTTTCATTGTAATTTTGTTATGCAGTCACAAGAATATCCTAAAATTGTATCTGATTCTTGGCTGAGAAGTGATAGGATATTTGTAAAAAGGTTTCAAGAAATGTTTCATCAAATCAATTGTCACTTCTATTCCATTTGCTTCTTTTTCACTTACAGGCAGTTGAATTCTCAGATTCTTCAGAGCTCTCTAATCTTTGCTCCGGTTAGGATCTATAGATACTCTGAGTTTGTTTCTTTTGTTCTCTATTTTTAAGTTGATTTTATTCTCTATATATACACACACATTCATATTTATTATTTTCTGAACAAGAACACTTAGCACCAAACTAAGAACATTTTTACCTACATTCTTGTCCATTTCTTCTAAGTACTTTTTCAGAGTGAACATCTCCAGTTAACCTCATTCATACTGCTTGTTCTGTACAGCTTGGATTCTAGCATTCCAAAATGTCATAGCTTTCTGAATGCAAGGTTTGCTGAAGGTACTGCTGATATAAGCAACTGTGCATTGTACTTCTGATGAGGCACACACTTGAAACTGATCTGTTACAAGCTACTTGTTGGACTAAAGGTCTGTCTGAATGAAGGCTGATCAGAGATGCAAGAGAGATACGGCACGTAAGCTTAATGCTAGATTTCTTAAGATTTAATATAAAATGAATGTAACAAGCAGAAGCCTCCAGAGAAAAATGAGTACATCAATAACTGTTCAGAATAACAGATAAAATCTTAATGACCTTTTAAAATAATATTAAGTGAATATTAATGTATCAGCATATTTATATGCTTCATATTTTTCATTGTAATAAATAAAATGGTAGTTGATAATTTGAATTAATCAGCAAAAGTCATAAGCCCTTGCTTCCTCACACTGACTTTAGTCTGCAGCTGAGCTCTAGTCTTTACCTTACATAGCAACAACTTGGTGTCTGATAAATGCACGTGTAACTGACTAGAATAGAATACTTAAATTCAGCACCTTTTACGAAGTGATTTGGAGGAAAAAGAATGGACAAAAGCAGCTCAGTAATTTAAACAAGAGGATTTGCTGAGTTGGTTAAGGCCATGCCTTCCAGCTGTAAATTCTTAGGTTCTTCAATTCTTTCCTTTACCCTTGGAGAAAGGCACTTGCCTAGCTACCAGCCTGGAACAACTAGGCTGTACATCTTCTGTGTACATTTTGAGAGAACCTATTTCTCCTCATCTGTCTCAAGAATAGATGCAGTATAGGGTATCATATGTAAAATTCTTCTTCCTTTGGTGTTCAACTCACTTAGAAATGGGCTTTTTTTAATTATACCAATAGACTGATATTTATAGTCCTGACTCTGAAAGTTAACATACCTCTCCATGCAACCATTTCTCCAGCTCTAGAATTAGAGCTCTTTACTAAACAGGATATTAAGCACTTCTCGATGACAACTAATAAATGAGAGGTCATTAAGAGACACCGTGTTCTGGTTTACAGCAAATGTTACTTGGCACCTTTGTCTGTTTCAAGTGATCAAAATCCTCTCTGCTTTATAGATGTTAACAGACGTAGTGCTATGGGCTGTATGTGGATTTGTGCAGTACATACACAACAAAGTATTTCTTGATTCACCCTGTATAGGTGGCAGAACTCACAGATGTTTCACAATGTGAGACAGTAAAATAACTTATCCCCTTCTGTGTATCAGTGTACTCGTATGTTTGTAGAATTGCTACAGTCTTCTGCAAGCATAAGATCTCAAAAATTGACCCAACTGAAGAGTTAGCGAGAAAAAGACTGGTTGTAGGTATTGAGAGATGCTGACAGGCCTTGGACTGCCTTTTTGTTTTATCCTGCTTTTGGTCAGGAAACTGATACTTTCAACTGAAGTGGTGGTATTAGAAGCCCAACAGGGCATCTGGTCTCTGTGGATTTTTAAAATCCTGGAGGCTCAGGCAAATGTGAAAATGAGGGAATACAAACTAATGAAGCCCAGCTCCATTTTGTAGAGCCAAGTGAACGGACACAGCAGTTCAGAGAAACTACACTGACTAAAATTCAAAGAGCAGGACCCAGTGAGGTCTTTTCAGTCTTGTTCTGATTTACGGTAATCCCAGCAAGGTAATGGTGAGCTGTAAAAACATATTCATTTCTGCGTGAAGGGGAAAGATTTAAAGCCCGGGATCTTAATATGGGACATGGGTGTTTGGGCTGAGGAAGGCTGCCAGCGCGGTGCAGGCGGGGGAGCCCGCCTCGGGGGGAGCCCTCCTTGAGGGGAGCCCGCCCTGAGGAACGATGGCAGGAGCGGCTGAGCCTCCTCAGGCCGCAGCGGCGGGCGCAGCCCGTTGCCTACCTGCGCTCGCAGCTGTCCCGGGCGGGACGCGCAGCCGGGCTGAAGCTGTGGGACGTGGAGCGAGGGGACTGCCCTGAGGGCGCGAGGCGAGCCCTGGGATCGAGGACCGGTAACGGGCGTCTTTATCCAGGCGCAGGGAGACGGTGAGTCTAAGGTGGGCCCCCATCCGCCTCCAAGGCGGGCAGCGGCCTCGGGGCAACTGGGGGTTGGGGAGAGCGGCGGACAGCCCCGGGAGCGCCCGGCAGCGGGGCTGAGGGTAACTTCGTGGTAGGTGGCGTGCCGGGACGGCGCCTCGTGACAGGCGTCGTGACAGGTTGTGGGTCGGAGGGCTCCGTCCCGGTGTGAGGGGACGGCGGCAAAGAGGGCTCTGAGGGAGCGGCGGAGGGGCAGCGCGTGCAGCGGGGATACCCCTCGTCCGAGCGCGGAGCCGCCCCCGAGCGCTGGCTCCAACATGGCTCTCGCGGCCGGCGGCTGCCGCGCCCCCTGGCGGCGGCTGGCGGATGCGGCCGGTCACGTGAGGCGCTCGGGGCCTGCTGCCGCCGCCGCTTCCCCCAGTCAGAGCGGAGCGAGCCGAGGCAGAGACGAAGAAACAAGATGGCGGCCGGTGGCGATCCGGAGCGGGACGCCGGCAATTCGGATTGAGCCCTCGGCCCTCACGGCTCGGCGGCCCCCCTCCCCGGCCCGGATCCCTCGCAGGGGGGGGAGCTTCCCCGTAGCCGCCTGTCCGGACTCCGAGCGCCCTCCCGAGCCTTCCTTTCCCCTCCCTTCCCCCTCCCGGCCAGCGCCCAGAGATGCGGGGCCGGCGAGGCAGGCCGCCCAAGCAGCAGCAGCCGGCGGCGGGCACCGCTCAGGCGAGCTCCCCGGCTCCGCCCTCTGCGGCGGGCCCCATCGGGGGGCTGAGGTCCCGGCAGCGGGGCAGCAGCCGCGGCAGGTGGGCGAGCTCGGCCCAGGCGGAGACGGCGGCGGGGCCCAAGCAGAAGGGGGCCGGGGCTGCCCAGGCCTCTTCCTCCGCCGCCGTCTCCCCCAGGGGGGGCAGCAAGAGGAAGGGAGGCAGCGGCAGCAGCAGCACCCCTGGTGGGGGAGGCAGCGGCGGTAAGGGTAGGGGCAGGGCCGGGGCTGGAGGAGCAGGGGGAGGAGGCGGAGGAGGCAGCTGCAACAGCCAAGGCAGGGCTGCCTCGTCCAGGAGGAGCATCAGCAAAGTGGTGTACGATGATCATGAGAGCGAAGAGGAGGAGGAGAGCATGGTGTCCGACGAGGAAGAGGAGGCAGACCCCGAGGATAACCAGGACTCTGAGGAGGAAGAGGAGGAGGAGATCATGGAGGAGGAGGACGACGACGACTCTGACTACCCCGAAGAGATGGAGGATGAAGACGATGCCAGTTATTGCACTGAGAGCAGCTTCAGGAGCCACAGCACCTACAGCAGCACCCCAGGTAGAGAGTCAGCGGGATAAATCGCACCAGCCCAGGGCAGCACACACGCTCCCTCTAGGTTTGCAAGTCCAATCCGCATGCATTCTTCCTCCCATCCTTGTACGTAAGGGATGCCCGCAAGCACTCGCAGGGGTGAGGGGTATGCAGCTTAACTCCTGGCAGCCCCACAGGTGCGGGGGGGCATTAGAATGTGCTTACAAACGTAGCGAGGGGAGGGAAGGAAGGAAGTACATGCTGGAACAAGGGGCGCTTTGCAAATATGCATGGGGATTCTGACTGCTGCAGAACTGCATGGTACACCAAAACGTGTTACAAACAACGTCAGAAGTGCATGGAGCGTTCACTTACTATTTAAAAACAAGGAAATGAGATGCGTGCCTTGCAAAGGGGTCATTTTGAATAAATGCAGCAAAGGATGGTTTATGCTAGCAGATGTAACTTGATGTTGAAAAGGAGCACATGCAACTTGAAGTGGCCTAAAAAAGCCATAAGCATTAGAAATTTGTAAGTTTTCGAAATCAGAGTATACCTGGAATCAAATTTACTGTCTTTAAGACAAAATGAGCTTTCCAAGGAGGGAAATGAGGTGCATTGTTCAAAATGGAGATTGCATTGTTATAGTTTAGGGAAAACTGCACAGGGCCTCATTGCAAGGGTGTAAACCTAGTTTTACTTAATAGGGCATGGAGATGAAAAGGTGGAGGTTAAGTCAAATGTCTGGGTTTTAAATCCTGCAGTTATTTCAAGATGTGGCAACCTTTAAAACTTGCATTTGAGTTAAAGCTTTTTAAGTGTCTTTGTGATTACATTTTGTTTTTTGGAACCTCATGTGACAGATTTGGGCTCAGTTTTTCTTATAAGGCCTATACTTCTGGTTGTCCTTAATTAGTTCCCTAGGTATGTAGGTTTCAAGCTTCTTTAAACTTTAGCACTTTAAATTCATTTTAATTCATTCCATAACAGAGTTCAAGCTTAGAAAAAAAAAATTTTTAAGTCTCTGAACCAGGAGAGTAGTTAAACTTAGGTGTAACCTAGGAGTGTTTCTGAATTGGGCTGCAGGATGATAAACAGTGGCCAATTTGGAAGGGGGCAAGAACAGATTGGGGTTTTTTTTATGTTGGACTTTTTTTTGTTCGTTTTAAATGTAGTTTTGAGTAGTTAGCTGGTTTTTTTTGTTTGTTTTTTTTTAAGCATGAAGTGTCATTATGTGTGTCATTTAGTTTTATTTTAGAGAGTCAGTGGTACAGCCCATTATATGACTTTATTACAGTCTTTTAAAAAAGTGTGTGGACACTAACCTATTAAAAATCTATATCCACAAACTTAAGAATGTAAACGAATTCAAATAAATACATATATTACTATATTAGTTAAACTTAAGGGACATTTTTTAAGGTGTTAATACTGGTTTATTTGTTGCAGTTGTCCTACAATGAAATGGATTTTTTTTTTTTGAATATGTTACCAAAGTTTGAAGTACTTTCCTTACTTTTAGTTCTTAATTTTCTGTTCAGTTTGGTGACTCATTAACTTGTTTGGGGAGTGTTTTTGTCAGGGAAGGAATCTCTGATGGTGTTAATTGTCTAGGTCAGGAAGGTGTTTTTGATGTGAACATCCAGGTTTAACATGAGTTCTAGGAAGTATGGGTGTATTGTTTTTGAAATATAGTGAAGAATTTTGGCAAATGACGAGATGCCTCAGTGTGTTTTACTGTGTGCAAGCAGAGACCTGTGCAAGCAGGTTGTAGGTGGTATTTAAGTGTATCAGAAAACTCTTCCCTGACTTTGTGTGTGTATTTTTCACCTGGTCAAGGTAACTTATTTCTAAAAAGTTTGTGTAAGCATTTTCATCTTTATTTACTGTATTACTGTAGATGTATTACTTACATCTTTATTTATTCAGCTTTTTTACGCTGTGTGGTTGATGGTTTTAATGTTGATGTTGGTTAGGCTTTTACTGGTGGCTCTTATTAGCTGAGTGTTGGCCTAATTCCTCTCCCCCCTCCTTTGCAAAGAGGAAGGTACAAACTTTTCATTTCATCAGCTCACTCTGTGTCTTGTTTCTCTTGGACGAATACCTGCATTGTGAATGTGCTACGCAGTGGTGGCACTAATTGAAATCTTCATCTTATAAGAATCCAGGAAGAGACCCTAAATGTTAGAACAGTTTTAATGGTCAAGGAAAAGATCCTTCAAAACCCAAAGAGTAGGACAGGCCCACAGCGACATGCCTTCAGGCTCCGGTGCTCTTTGACCCAGGTGCATGCTGAGTCTTTAGCTCTTCAGAGTGTTTTACCTTCCATCTATTTATCTTCAAGTAATACAAACTGTAACATACAGTGACAAAGTTCCTGTGGTTATAACAGTGCAACTTGGTGGAGTATCTCCTTTGTTTTAGTCAGCATCACGGAATCATGCAGTCCCCCCAGTTCTCTTAGATGAGGTGATGTACAATTGTTCTCTGCTTATCTCCTCTGGATCACAGGCAGCCTGAATTACTGACAACCAGGATGTAGTATTCAGGGCTGAGGAGTTCATTTTGTAGAGCAGAGTACTGAAAAATCGTAGTTACAACCAAACTGTCCTACTAACCAAGATTTGCATTTAAATGGCATTCCACTTAAATGGGTGGCAGACTTTCCACATTTTTTCTTATTTATATTCTTAACAGTTACTGTAAAAGAACACAGTACAATGTCTCTAGCCAAGTAAGGCGTGATTTTTGTGCTTCACTGTGGTAATATGGTATGTCTCAAACTTGAACAATGATTACTATATTATTATAAAAGTATTTAGAGAATCACAATATTTGGAATAGTAAAAATGCCTTCAATATCACGCTTATTAATGGAATACTTAAAGTTTGTGTGGTTGGATGTGTTTGACTGCTGTCTGTTGTTGGACTGGCCTTT